TATTTATCCCGGAGACTGTGTTGGGATATACTATAGATTTAGTGGTGCAATTGCAAATTTCATAGTATGGATTTCACATTTTCTCCCCAATGTATAGTGTAGACCAACTATCTCTTTCAAAGTCAATGCTTGTCGTGCGCTCTACAGAATATTAGTTTACTTTATCCAGTTTTTCACTCATTGGCCAGCGGATTTCCCAACAGGCCAATTGATAGGGGATCCGAGGTACCTACGATTTAACGTCCTTATCCGAGAAGACGCGAAAGTCTATAACCATTTACTGGTGTCAATGTACAGGGTGTATCAAAATCAACGCAATTCATCTTTTGTGCTTAATAACGTTCGAAATACTATTTCTAGTTAAACGCTTTTAGGCTTACTTCAAAGCCTGTTCTTTTCTCTTTCAAACAAACTATTATCCTTGTCTCCAACGCTAGTAATAATTGCACAGGAAAAGATTTAGTAAAACCTATCACGTTTAGTTGCTGTTTAATTATGCAAGTTTACTATGTTATTGTTTAGTCGGTTTAAATGTTAGAATTTTTTTCTTTAAACTTTAATGTTGTCGTCACTACATCTGGAAAACCACGTAAGAACAAATTAAAAGTATTTTAAAAGAGACCAGGTTGTTTGAAAATCCTAAACGAATGCTAAAAATCGTCAAAACATTCTTGTGTCTGAGCCAGAATGTCATCGAACTGCGATGTAATGTAAACAGAAATTATAGCAAGTTAATGTCAGTCAGCTTAGATGGTCCAAGCCAAAATTATATCGCATTTGAAGTTTAAAACTGAGTTAAAAATAGTGGAAGAAAAGCCGTAATTATACTTATTGTTACAATCCATTTAATAAAATGCAACATTTTTTGTTTTAATGAAAAAATCAGTTATTTTCATGAGAACGATTTGTTATTCCATCTCAATTTTTTAATCTCCAATCGCAATAACGTAAAGTATTATTACCCGCGAACCAATGAGTCAAATTTAAGAAACAACCCACTGTTAGAAAGCTGAATGGCTACGCTTTAAAATGAATGTAAACTTTAACGTTTTCGTCTATTATTTGTTTAGCAATTTACATTTCAGTCGAGGATTGCGCTTTTTTTGATACACCCTGTATACCTTTCTCCTCAAAAATATTTGTGGGAATTCACTCAGTGTTAAACACCGGATCAGTGCCCTCAAATATTTCTTACAAATCCTTCAAAACTTAAAATTAACCGATGCAAAATTCCTACTGATCACAGAAACTTTGATAGTGTAAACCAGACTTCACCATGCTGTGTGACAACACACTTCCTAACATGTGTTTTCTTCCGCAGGAATGAAATGTAAAGGTGGTGCTATCTACGATGACTGTGGACCAGCCTGTCGCCTCACGTGTAAAAACAAAGACGACGCGAACAAAGTGTGTACCAAGCCATGTGTGGCTGGATGTCAATGTCCGGCTGGGAAAGTTTGGCATAAGAAGAAGTGCATTTCGCCGTCAAAATGTCCAAAGTAGGTAAGCTTTGTTGTTTATGCATGTCAACACATACACCAGGTTTATCATACAGAGCTAGATCTAAACATTTGCATCGTTTCGAAATTGAATAGGATTTTAGAATTGCACACTGTATTCCAGTAAATCCGGAAGTACTGAGCTCTTTATAGGCCACCTGAGACTACGGTAACTCAAACAACCTAGTTAAGACATTTTTTATCCTTATATATACAAAGTTTGACTTGATTCTTTCCGTTAAACTAAGATTATCCTGTCTGGGTTCCATGTCTCTGATTATACTGACGGTTACATCAATACAACTCGAAAGTGTTAAGACTGATATTCAATGGATGAGGAAATTTCAATGAAAAGCACAAGGGTTAATCTCTTGAAAAAAAAAGGCTTCTACTCATGTGTGTTGTGGTTGCCTTGGAGAGTTTAATTATTCTGCAGAAGCTTAACTCCTAGCACATAGATAGTAAGCTTCTCAAGTGCGGAAGTGCCCATTCTTTTATTCAATCAATAATAGCATGAATGAAAAATAAAGTTAAAGTAGTGAACCGTATAGGTAATTGAAATAATATCTTCAGTCATTTGTCTGAAGACATAGTAACTGAAGTAATATGTCACTCCAAGATTCAGTGTATATATAAGGACTATTACCCACGTGGTTGACCAGACTGATTGTCAAATTTGACAGCTATATACCATGTCAATTGCACTACAGCAAAATTGGCAAACGTTGTATACATTGTTGGTTTTTTGCTCAGATGATAACACTGGATACTTGGTGAAGTATATTGATCCTAGGACTGGATCAAAATTAATTCACCTCACTTTAAATAGTGATTTATTCGTACGAGATGTCATTTCAAATCCTCCAATTCGGACTGGACTAAATTCCAAGTCCTCGCATGTTGATCCAGTCCTCGACTTCGCCTCGGGCTTGATCAAATCTAAAGCTTTGTTACGTTGTTCTATTCGATGCTTCTGCAAACTAGAATAGTAACTAGACATGTGAGTTCCCTAAAGCTCAGAATTGGGTATAAACAAGCCATGTTTGTCTCTTGGTACAATATTTACTTTTGAACTTGACCTAAGTCCTAACCTTATAGAATGTATAAAATCTTCAAAAGGATCATTCCTGATTACATAACCTCATTGAGACTGATAATCCTATTTCGTGCCTTATTATTTTCATATCTTCTCTCCTATTATTTTTAGAAGCATTGCTTAATTAATACACAAAATAAATACTTCGGCATTCTGTGTTGTACATGCTAATCTCAGACGTGGTGGATATTAAGCCTCACACCTCATTTAAAGTGCTATTACTGTAAGATACATGCGTAGGTTGGTCCGTACAACACATCAGATCATTTTACAAAAGCCCACATTCAAGAAGCTGTACTATCTATTCTAGTCTCAGAGTTCGTGCAGGTCAGGCAAAGTAAAATAAAATGCAAAGCCTCTTCAAGGCCATATATCAGGAAACGCAATGACTAAAGGCCTGAAGAAAGAAGGTGTTAGAAATCAGATTAAAAACGGAAGTTAAACTGTTCAAATTGTAACTTGAATTTCAAACAGCTTTGTAAGAAATGAATAAAGTCAGTTCAGTTTCTCTTTATCTTTAAACTAAGCTTTGTAAGACATGAATAAAATCAGTTCAACAAAATGTCCTTTTTAAATGTAAAAAAAAACTTTCAGAAAATATCCATCCAAACTACAGCAAGAAGATTTCAAGGACTTTCAAGCACTTCTTCATAAATTCAAGGGCCTTCAGGCCTTACGAACCCTGTACTGAAAGTAAACCGAAAGTAAATCAAATACATGCTTACCAATTTCGCCCTTCCTTTAATAAATTAATCGTGTCGTCAACTGAAATTTTCAGATCTTGTAATCTTCGCCAGTTCTACCTGTAAAAATTATAAAACGAAACAGTACATTAAATGATTGTTTGTTAGTAATGAACAGTACATTAAATTATTGCTCATTTGTTTCAGTTCAAAGAAACGCAAGACGTTCGTGCACTGAAGCGAGGTCTGCTCCAAGCAAACTTGTTCTCGTGACGAGTAAACAAGAAGAGTGATGACGCAAAGTCAAGCATATAAGATCCAGACAAAAGGGCAGTTTGCCCTCATATTTTATAACCAAATATCCACAGTATATAAAATGAAGAAGTGACACAAGGCTCGCGTAAGCATTTTCTTGGCAAGTTTTCGGTTTGCATGTATTATTTCCACAAACTTAACAAATATTCTAAATTCAAAAGATTTCAATATATGTAGGTTATAGTCGTAGAGCTACTAAAAATAATCCAGCGAGCTCTATAAAAATCTGGTATTAAAACAGTTTCGACATTCACGGCTATTGGACGTCTATCCACTTTTTTCGTTAGGCCGAATGACTGACATTCTTGCTCCAGATATATAGAGCTCACCGGGCCGATTTCCCTTCCTTAAATGCAGGTGGAGGACGCCAGGCACTCAGGTTAACACTGATTCTCAAAACGAGATCACGCTAATCAATCCTGTTTTATTCCAAGATCAGTGAGTACTAAATCCCAGTGGAAATGATTTTTTTCAATGAATACAACCAAAAATTTGCCAAGAGAACCGAATACAGACCGGATTTGCGGGTCAAATGCAGGGGTCAGGCACTACACCTTAAGAAGGTGGTAGTTTAGTTGTTAGTGTGTAGAGGATACAGTATAAATATACAGCATATATATATATTTCAAAATTTTTATGTACTTTAGAAGTATGAAAAGTTATTTTGAGACAAACAGTATATTTTTATAACAACTATATAAGAAAAATGGTATAACTGTATAAGATAAATTTTGCCAAGGCTTTAAACGAACGAGCTCTTATAAGCATTAAGCTAACGAAATGCAACAGAAATATATTTCAAAGCTACATAAAATACTAAAGAGAATATCGATTCGTCGAATTCAATATGATGCACCAAAGTTACAAAGACAAGTATATAGTGTATAGTGTATAAGGTGATTTCATATTTTTTACGTAAAATAAATATATATTTTTATAAATTAAATTCTTCGTTATTTTGTCTTTTAATAATAGACATAATTCACTAACATTTGTTTGTATGCGTTGCTAGCCAATAGACCTTGTGCATAATGACCTCACAAGGCTTGATGCCAGCGAGGAATGCTGGTCTTGGTAGTCATCGCCCGGGAAAATTAAACAATTCAAAATGGCCACTATCGAAATTTTCCCGGGCGATGACTGCTGAGACCAGCATAAACAACTTTTTTCAAATTTGTCTGTTACTTATATACAGGGTGTCCCAAAAAAGTACCCTCTATAGAAATCATCCTATTGGTATAATTTGAATGCTATAAGCACTATGCTGAACACAAGAGTGCATAAACACAACTGAATTTTTAATTACCAGGCGCATGAAATCCTGTGCTTAACAACAATAGGATAAATTTCTATAGAGGGTACTTTTTTGGGGACACCCTGTACATGATCCTAGTAACATTTGTTACCTTAATTCGTTTTATTCTAACGAGATGTTTTCGTAAAGTAGAACAATGGAAACTAGGCATGCATGTTAATTGTTGTTGGGATTCTTTCTAAAGTTATGAATTGGATTGGCAATTATTTTTGGTCTTATCTTTGCTCTTACCTTCGCGAGACCATTCTCAAAATGCACATCCAATCCAAAGCATGAATCCCAAGGGTAAATATAACGAGCGTACGAACTCTACGATGCCTGTCCAACAACGTCGAAAGTACTGTATATCTATTATTATAATTTCCTCCATCCATTTTCAATGCTAACGTGACTTGTGAGCGGATTTGTGTAGATGATCTTTGGAATCTGAAGTATATTAAATGATTCCATTTGGTCATGATCTTTTGTACTCCATGTATATTTTGAACTATGTTTTCAATGTATTAGTCGTTCCTGTGATTCCATTCAAAAACTTGCCAGTATAACCATATAAAATTTTGGTTCTTTTCCACCTAATTTGAATATCACCATCATTGTCACCAGTATTCAAATTAGATACCTCTTGGTAATAAATAGAAGACTGTTTTTAATGTATTTCCATGCAAGCTGCCAGTATTACGGATGTAAATTGGTTAATTTCCACATATTGACGATGATCTTTTGAAAATGGAAAACGTTTCTTAGCTCCGCAGTGAACGATATCCATTGTTCTTTTCTTCATATACTCCGTGTTCGATGGAACCATTATACGAGTCTTTTTAGAGTACTCATTTACTGGCCTTAGAGAGGCAACCGTCTATTGATCACGTATTACAAAAGACTCCAATATCCGAGTTCTGTCATGTGCAAGTGAGCTCATTTCTTGTTCATAGAGTCAGTAGGCAAAGATACATTAGTCCAATTACAAGACATGAATCCATTAGCTCTGTCTTTTGCACGGGTTCCCATTGCTCGATACAGTATGTGTAATCCTTATGTCAGCATACTGATATCAATCGAGAGTATGCTTGATTGTATCTTTCTCTTGTCATTCATGCTCTTCTAAGCTCTTCCGTTGACAATCAACACGAACATCCTTTGTGTTTGGTTGAACATCGGTTGCAGTAGAAATATTAACGAGATTCGGATTGGATTTCCACTACCGCTCTCACTGGCTTAATGTGCATCTGATTGGTTAATCCGATAGATTAAACACATCTGATTGGTTAATCCAGTAGATTAAACACATCTGATTGGCTAATCCAGTAGATTAAACACATCTGATTGGTTAATCCGGTAGATTAAACACATCTGATTGGCTAATGGTAACGGTAGTGAAAGTCAAAATTTGAACCTAATGTAATTTCGCTCGAAAGGTCGAGAAATGTTTTTATCTTTTCAAGCTGAAGTAGGGTATTTCGACCTATCGAGCGAAAGCTTTCCTTCAGGGCTTAGCATTACGAATTATCAATGGCAAAGGCAATGCTTCACCGCCTGAAAACTGGATACATGCCTACTATGCGATCAAAATTAAGGTAATGCCACTACAAGTTTAATGAATTGTAGACTTTAATAATAAGTTATTTAAAATAATAATTTAAATATATATTATGGTTTAAAAATGTTGGTTTATGATGCGTTTACAGAAGATTAAAGTTCGAATATTTTTATGTTCTTCACCTAGTATTTAAAGTTATCCTATACTTTTGTACTTAATTTCTTTCTGTACGACGTGGATTTTTTTAAACTTGTACAGTGCATCTCAATTTGATCTCTTTAGTCTTACAGACGAGCAAGACTTACTTGTTGCCAAGGAGTATCTTGTTGCAAGCAATATGTTTTTGTTTGGCGAGAATATTTTCGCAAGTCAAAACTGATTTTCAAGTAACTTTAAAAGTTGCTTGAAAGTTATTGCGTAAAATAAAGTAGATCTGTCATTGGTAAAGGATACCTCCGACGTCACATGATGACGTCAAATTATGACGTCATGTTGCTGAGAATGGTTTCATATTTTCGAAGTCTCTGGATAACATACCACCTGCATTTAAATCATGCCTCGGTCTCGCGTCTGTTAACGAAGGTAATTTGCCCGGATGGATAGAGCTCTTGGGTTGGTCCAAATCAGGGGATATTGTATCGTTTGGCGGTGTCGGACTCTTCGAGTTATCTAGGAGAAAAGAAACCTATATTAGACATGCCCTACCATGGTCTATGTCTGAACTACCTGCAAAGGATTGGAAACATGTTAAACAAGACCCTTGACATTCACGGCTGGTCTAAAATTATGGAACACTACCTACACTACACCCTTATGTTTGAGACATGGCTCTTATTGGACTTCTTTGAAGGACAGTTTTGGACTGAGAGAGCTATCCAGTATAAACAATGTTAGTATATTTTAGGTTTCCTGATGTATAACACTGGACCAATAAGGGATCAGGAAATCTAGGAGGAACAGTCTAAAACTGACAAAGTTTAGAATCGTTAGTCTAGAGTAATGAATCTCTTTGAATACCTGTTCTCTCTTCTTGAACAGATTCCAGTGTCGGGTTATGTACAGGTTCATTCCTTGGGCTCGGTGCGGGGTTAGAAGAAGACATCGACGATGTTTGTTGCAGATCTAAACGACTTCCTTTTCCAAGTCTATCACATACCAATGCTATATGCTTCTTCAGTTTAGTCGTGTCTTTTGGAAACTGCAGTGCTTGTGTATTGACTACAAAAGAAAACAATTTGTCCCTCAGGAATGTCTAGTGTGGAACACAAGTGCCAAAAGGCATATATAGTGGTGATGGTGAAAGTGGAGATGATGATGGTGAAGGTGGAAATGATGAAGGTGGTGATGATGATGGTGAAGCTGGTGATGATAATGGTGAATGTGGTGATGGCAGAGGTGATGATGACAGTGAAGATGAGCTGATGGTTGTAATGATGACGATGATAGTAATGGTGATTATGGCAGTAATGATGATGGTGATTGTGTACAAGATGACGATGGTATTGTAACAGTAATGATGATGGTGATTATGTATGTGATGACGATGATAGTGATTATGGCAGTAATGATGATGGTGATTGTGTATGTGATGATGACGATGGTATTATGACAGTAATGATGATGGTGATTATGTATGTGATGATGAATATGGTGGCTTAAACACTGGGTAACGTACCTGTTTGATCTTTGACGCCCTTCGACAAACATGTTTTTAACAGATGTGTTACAGCAGTGTCAGTAACCTCCTCCCAACCCTACAGAGAATTAACTTGTTACTACAACAACCAAAACTTTTATAGTCAGTCCTGGGCTACACGTAACTTCTAAGCTGTACCTGACTTTCCGTTTCTGCAATGTCCGCACATAATGTTGATTCAAGAATCTTAAATTCCTTGTCCGTCATATTCGTCCATAACCTAAAAGATCGGTCAAATACGTACGGTTAAAATCGTCCCTGCTTGACTCGACCAAATACTGCAGGATTTATCTTCGGGTAGTCAGGTTTCCTACTGCAGTAACAGATGGTCCTTTCTGGACTTCTACAGACCAAAGATTTAAATATAACAGAGCTATCCAGTATCAAGACTGTTAGTTTAGTTGAGGTTCCTTCCTGTGGCAACACTCCACAAAGAAGGGATACTACTTACTGGTCTTCTAGAAAGATTAAAACTGGTGGAACTATCCAGCATAAAAAAGTTAGTTTAGTTTACTGGCTGTCCTATTGTAATAAATATCAATACAGTCACTTTAGTTTAAATAATACTTTGGTGTAAATAAAATCGTACTTTATTAAGAGATTTATTAGTCTGGTTCCACATGCTAACGCGATGACAGTTCGTTGAATACATCTTTGACAGTCTTCTTCTGCCTCGCCAAGAGCTAGGAGCTGAAAAAATAAGAGTTCATTACGGCCATGTTATACGAGACAATTTCGCTGCAACTTGCAACAAAATTTCAGATGGTATAACATATGAATCGTAATGTTCAAATATATGATAGTCTCTTGATTGAAGCAAGGAAATCGTTTGATCGACATCTTGTCTGTCTTACAACACAGTCTTAATTACAATAGAAAATAAAGGACTTAAGTTAAAAAATTTTTTTAAACTTAACTTACCATCCTTTATTTTCTATTGCAATTAAGACTGTGTTGAAAGAGTAAAACATGTTCAAAACAAACTTGCAATGCCTAAAGCGAACTGCTGTAAGAGGGAAAACTACAAGAACGAAATACCATCGACTGTATACACTATATCTATCTACCTGTCGGTATGTTCCGTCCAGTAATGTGTCCAAATTGGCCAAAGGGGACGGCGTTTTATCTTTGTATTTGGTCAACAGTCGTCTTTGTATCGCTCGAAACTGAGCTGACCGTTGACCGAGAATTTCACGATACTTTTGTTGATTGAGTCTTTGCTGAAATACAATGAATTGATTTTGATGAAGCAAAACAGAATACATAATTAAGTCACTCCCACATACAACACCGTATGTTGTAATCAACGTAATCTTACCTCAAAATGGCTATCTATAAGTTCAAAATAGTACTGAAGCGGCAGAGGTCCCATGAACGACAAACGCAGTGGAACGCCATCCCTCAAGTCAGCGAAGTGATCTTTAAGTCGAGTTACCAGTTCGTGAACTACCAGCCACAAACCTTCAAATTTGTCACACTGGATTCTGTATCTCTCTAGAATAACGAAGAATACTCAAACTCAAATTTCCTGGCGCGGTGGTTAGCGCATGTCCCATCATCTCTGTGACTACAATTCCTGCAATAGGCAGTTGCAAGGGCGGATTTTCATTTTTTTTAAAGGAGGGGTAGAAAAATTTTTGGTGGGGTGCAAGCGGCACCACTGAGTGAGCTTTGACAGGGGTTAGGCGTTAGGGTTAAATACTTTCACACACAATAGGAGGAGTGAAGCAAAATTTTGGTGGGATTGAACACTTTATAAGAGATGTTAGAGAGATTCTAGGGGAGGGGTTACTCCCACAGTAAATCCGCCCATGGGCAGTTGTCTCATGATATAATCTCGAATGGTCTGTACCAGAATAGGTGCGACGATAACAAGACAGGATTGAGAGAGATACTGTACAACTACTTTCAAAATACAAGCAGAATTTCGACATTTATCTACCCAACAAAGGGCCTTCGCTCGAAACGTTGAAGTTCTCCTTGTATTTTTCAGGTCGTTGTATCCCTATCAATCCACAGTTGTCTCCAGGATTTCTCTGTGTACTCTGGTTTCCTCCTGTAGTAACACTGGACCAATGGATCTTTAGACACAAAGTTAGTTTCGTTCAGTTGACTTACGTGAAGTTTTGGACGCAAGAATTGTAACAACGGGCCCGCTGTAATACTCAACGCCAAGAGCGACAAGTGGAACAAGCATGTCCTCAACCATTTCTGGAAAATGAAAAAGATAACATTAAATGTTTCCATGATAAACCAATGCTTACGTTTCAAGTCTTGCATCTATTAGAAAAAAACATGAAATAACTACAAAATACTATATGCAACACCCCCAAATATTTTCTTAAAATCTCTGAAAGGCAACGGGTTCATTATCATAAATATATTTTTAATTAAACAAAATAGTATTGGATTTGAGCCAATATTGAGCACTGAAATTTGTAGCAATAAATACGCCACGCATACCTGGAAATAGTTCGCCAAGATTTACAGGCGGCTTGTTGGTATCTAAGGTTAACTAGAATAAAAACAAACGTCAAAACAGATCATTTTCATAAACATAAATCATTGACGTACAAGATATATAATCATACCTTACAAACAGCGTTCTTAACAGGCAGACATCCTCGACAAACCAAACATACGGGAAGTTCAAACTCGCATTGACAGATTCGAGGGGCATCTGTAAAAGAAATGCAGGAGGTTTGTGCTTAGAGGAAAATAAATAGAATTTGACCACCATCTTAAAGTAACCCTAACCCATGCATACCTGAAATCGTAGTAAACGTTGCAATGGCTTGAACCTTCATTGTTGATGGTACACAACCACCACAGAGAAAAAATGATACCTCCACATCTGTGGTCACCTTTGTATCACCTTTGAACGAATAAAATGTAGAATACTTATAATACATATCACTCTTACTAATAATCTTTAATATTAGATAGCTCTATAAGGCTTCGATGGCGCAATGGTCATTGGGTTTCATCTCTGAGAATCTCGTTGCGGACTCGTGACACTTATGTGAAGAGTCAGCGAACGCTTTGCTGAAAGTCGTGGGTTTTCGCCGGGTACTCCGGTTTCCTCTCACAGGGAAAGTTGACAGGGTGGGTTAGGATAAACCCCCTAACTCAACCTTCCACCGTAGAAGTGCTCCGTGATAGGATATAAGGTAGTTACCAGATGCCATTAGAAAACCTTCCACTCTATAAGATTGAGCTGCATCCTTCGCACTTCAGCTTAGCTCTGAGCTGCAAGTAAGGATGATTAGCACATCCCTCGTATCAGTTCTGCTACATTACCTATGCTTGGTATGACAGAGGACGTTTTGTTACACATTATTGGATAACCAGCATCAATTGTTACCATTACGTTTTCAATAGGATGATTAGATTGACATTCTAGTGTTAGCTAAAAACACAATATGGTTTAATGTTACTTGCTACTGTCACAGAGTAGAGACATACAGAGACGTAACTAGTGTACCCACTTTTTTGTGCGCATGCTCGGCAAGTTACTAGATGCATGGATCTGATTGGATGACAACCTGATGACGACTCACTTTAAACTTGCTGAGCACGCGCAGTTGATCATTTTTCGCCCGGTCGCCTGAAAAAAAGTGGGTACATGATAACGTAATCTTCCGCAGTGTTTACAACGGTCAGTTACGTCTCTGTATGTCTTATCTACTCTGTGCTACTGTGCTTGTGATGTTACTCTTAGCCCAATGCTCTGCCAACTGAGCTACGCGGTCAGGTCGGTTCAAGTGTGTGATATTTCGGAGCAGAATCTAGTTCCTTCGATATCAATGTAATCTTGTCTATTCTACTTACTTTGACAGTGATGGACGGAAATGTCTCGCCATTCTCATCGGGAACTGCACACTGAAACCGTCAAAGAAACATTTACTGCATGGAAAATCTATATACTGTACTTTTTACAAATATAATACAACACATTTTCACGACACTTACCACACACTCGGCTAACTTACCGAATGTTTGTCCAGACTTGTGGGGACTGTAGCCTTGATTGTAATTTCATCTTTCTCGCTAGTCTTCACTACGAATTCTATGGCAACATAACGAAAAATAGATATGCTGTCGTCATGCTATGAAGAGATTTGGGCAATAAATTGCAATAATAATATATAAGTTCTGGTTATAATATTTAGTACCTGAGTTGGACGCAGACTCTCTGATCACTTTATATAACTCTCGCATTTCATCCTCAACATCCTAAAATAGAACGATTCTTTCTCGCAAATAATACAAGTATTTTCTGCATGTACGGGGTATTTCATGGGTGTGTATCAGAGATCACATTTCCCCCAGAATAATGGACACCCACTCTCTAACATGCCCCAGGGCAAATTCGCTGCTATGTGCCCCTCCTCCCACTTTGGGGGCATCTGGTTGCTATGCCATTACTTACATCGTATTGAACGTCACGGGAATGCGCTGGTGGAGTGACAAATAAAGATGGATCAGTACCCAGATAGCTGCAGTAGATATAACCAGTCTCGTCTAGGGTAACAATGATGCCTTTTAAATTCCTAGAAATATACACATCGATCACGTCATGACTTGTACAGCTAGAAGAGTGATTGCAAGTCCAACAATTTTCTTCCTGGGAGCACAACCTGGAGACAAAAATTTCCTGCAGACCAACGGAGTATTTTTGTGCTAAATCTGCATGTGCATAAACATATAGTGTTCTAGCTGACCATGGTTTTAAATTCAAGGAATAATGTTTGTCAACCATATGTTGTTGCGGCCATAGCGAGACTTGGGTGTTAAGGTTTCCTTCAAATTTTCAATAGCAAATCTTCATTCAACTAAATTTCCTGCAGCTGTTTAACATTTCCTGCGAGCAGTGCTTGCCTATTTTTTCCACCCCTGGATGTCAGTGGACAGGTATTGTAGCACTTTTTCCTCAATTATTTTAAGACCTTGAGTAGAGGTCTGACCAAGGATTGAACGCAGGTCTCCCAGCTTGAAAGACAAGCGTTGACACAACAAGAACCCACAAACAGTTCGTCTATGTCTATACGTTACCGTTAAATAGAAAGAAAAGAAAACGTACGCAAAGTTAGCGACTTTAGCATCAACAGGGATATGAGGAAGCTGTGCTGCCCAGGATAACGTCACATTTTGATAAATCATCAATGTTTTACTGTGCGTTCCGACCATCAGATTAAACGTGTCTTCTTTAACTACAAATAAAGAAAAAGTAAATTATATAATGGTACTGTAGTTTAAATGGTCAAAATAGCTGTATCTATAACTCTATCTAAACTGCTCCAAGAAAATACAAATGTCTAAAAACAAGCGCACACAGGAACGAAATGTAATGTCTCTTATGTAGGTGTTAGTACACTTACATGATCCATACGGCAAGATACAACTGGCATTGTACTCAAATTTTTTCATGAATAGTAGAGCGCCATTACATTGTAGACAATAGAAAGATCTTTCACCTGTTCAAAAAAAATAATTGACCAAGGCTTAATATTTTGTCCCATACCCGTGTTAAAAGCGGCTTTCTGATTGGTTTAGAGCAGGTGAGCTTGTCGTCGAGCTCACCTGCTTTTTGCAGAACTCACCTGCTTTTCGCCCGAACTCACCCGCTAAACTGCTTACGTTGCAATAACAATAACAAATATGGCGGACAAGATTTAGCCGATAAACCTAAACTTTAAAGAACTTTTTTCGGTGACTAACATACTGAGACTGAAGAAAAACTAAAGAAAAATGCAGTAAAGGTAATGTAGACGTAGATAAAGAAGTATTTTCTTGCCCAGTGATTTTTCTGGCCGGGAAAATGTTCACAAAACATCGACGAATATATCGCGAAGAGCTACAAATGTGTGTATGGCTCGGTGCATGGGATAAAAACCAAACGTACTTGCAGGTTCGGTGAGTCCGGGATTGGACGCACCTCCCTGCAAGTACGTTTGTTATAAAACTGTTCCACCAACGTCTGAAAATAGCGAGGTTCAGATTTGACTTCCACTACCGCTACGATTGAGGGACTATCAGCCAATCAGACGCATTTGATACATCCGATTAACCAATCAAATGCATTTGATATATCCGATTAACCAATCAAATGCATTTGATATATCCAATTAACCAATCAAATGCATTTGATATATCCGATTAACCAATCAGATGCGAACTAAGTCAGTGAGAGGTAGTTAAAGTCAAATCTGAATCTCTCTAATAATTCAATACATACAACTCAAATATATAGCATATAGTTTTACCCAGAACAAATATTGCTGAGATATTGTCATATTTCACTACCACCACGTTGATAGCATTATCACCGATATTGAATGTCCAGTCAGGCTAAACAATTAAAAATGCATATAAATGCAACAGCAGTACCTGCTGTAATAACAAGCAAAATTCACCATTAACAATGGATGATTCTAGCTACTGTCTAAATTTTGATCTCGGCAAGAAGAACAAAATCCATCACCACAGCTAGAAAGAGCATGTTAAAATTAGTAAAATTACAAAGTTTGGTCGAAATGTTGTAAAATGCGGAAAATATAGCCCTGCGAAATTTGCAAAGTTTGTATTAAATTGTATTACGCACGGGAATTTGCATTACTTTCAGCCCAAATGTGGTCAACCTCGTCCCCCTTCTCAGCACGAAGGCCCTGGGGACGAGGTTGAAATGTGGTGCATTTTCCCGCGCGTAATACAAATTAATACAAAATTTGCAAATTTCGTAGGGCTATATTTTCCGCAGTTTACAACATTTCGCGGCCATTAAACTTTGCAATTTTACTAATTTTAACATGCTCTTTCTAGCTGTAGTGATGGGTGGATAAATATTGCATAGATAAATTCTAACTTTTGAAGGATTTGTAAGAAATGTTCGAGGGAACTGTCTCAGTGTTAAACACGAAGTCAGTTGCCGCAAACATTTCTTACAAATCTTTCAAAATTTAGAATTTACCGATGCAAAATTCCTACTGTGATAACAGAAACTTTGATAGTGTAAACCAGGCTTCATAAAATAATTAATGTGTATTCTTACCGCAAGTCGTTTTCCAGAAATTTTTCTCTGGTCGCTCTTTTCCTTCGTTTCTGCCTCAGTAGCAGCGGCTAGAGTCTGATATCTGGAAAACAAACGCAAAGCTCATATCAGTGAGATGACAAAGAACAGTGATAAACTGTAGACCGATTAAAACATAGTTGTTCATTCTTTTTTCTTCCAAAATTAATTTAAACCAAGGTAATCACAGCCGCCTTATAGAAACCTCAAGCCTATAACAGTATAAATATCAGGGTTCGAAATAACGGTTCGTGATTCGTGAATCACGAATCATTTTTCATTTTTCACGAACCCAATTTCATAGAAATTGATCAAAATCACGAATCAAAAGTCTCTTAAATTGATAAAAATATACAATAATAAATTCAGTTCTTTGTAAATGTGATGAAGGATAATATATTCTGAAGATATTGTTGTTAGATTGTACTTAAAAACGATTATAATTCCACCCAAAATTCTATTTCTTTGCGAGTTTGCGATGTATATTATATATTTGAAAATTGCAGTGCTTCCACTTTTTAACTTCCAATTAGAGAAAATTCCTTGAAAATTCCTTAAAATTTCCTTAAAATAAAAAAATTAATTCACGAACCTTTTTTCAGAATTATTTCGAACCCTGAATATAATATTTATACCATGTATTCTCTTTCATATAAATTAAACGTTAAAGGATTTCAAAGGATTATCATTTGGCTTCATGGGTTCTTTCTAATCTGAAACTCTTACACTTCGCTTTAAATAGTAGTGTCTGTTAAAGAACCGCTTATTAGCCTGGTAATGCATAAAATATAAAATAATGAAAAATTGCGGTATATTTCATTAAGGTCGCCATCAGAAGCACTTTATGTAATGTACTGTTCAACAAAGTGAAATTTTACACCAGGACAGACGTAATATTTCACATACTTGTAGCATTCGACGACTCTGGATGAACTGCAAGTTACGAAGGAGTCAGTTTTGGCAATGTATCGAACTGGACTTGGTAGTAAAAATCCTGGTAGAAATCTGCCGAATGCAAACATTTCTTGTTCAAAGAATGATAACAAGCCATCCATGGAAGCAACACAAATGAAATCCTTTCCTACACAAAACAAGAGAATTGCTCATACTGAGTCACTGGTTCTCTAGGGAGAACAGATCAGAACTGATAGAGCTATCCAGTATAAAGTTAGATTAGTTTAGGCTTCCTTCTGCAGTAACACACAATGAATAAGAGATGATCCTTACTGGACCTCTACGAAGAACAGTTTAGAACTGATAGAGCTATCCAGTATAAATAAAGTTAGTCTAGTTTAGGTTTCCTCCTGTAGTAACACAGGATCAATAAGAGATGATCCTTACTGGACCTCTAGGAAGAACAGTTTAGAACTGATAGAGTTATCCAGTATACATAAAGTTAGTTTAGTTTAGGTTTCCTCCTGTAGTAACACTGGATCAATAAGGGATGATCCTTACTGGACCTCTAGGAAGAACAGTTCAGGACAGAACTGATAGAGCTATCCAGTATACAGAAACAAGATGACATTATAAATTAACAAAATACCTTTAACACCACCAAAAGGTCCATATGTAAATGAATATGACGTCCTATCCAAAATATGCTCATACACAAGGTTTAATGTGAAATGGTTGCCATGTTCAACAGCTCCTGATATTACTAGGTATAGAAATAGGCACGTCAGGGGTACACATCAGGGTACCAGTAAAAATAGGTACATTAGTGTACATATAAAAATAGGTACACATAGCGTACATGCAAAAACAGATAAAAATTGGTACGTTATAGCGTACATATACAGAGGCACCCATACCAACATATAAAAATAGGTTCAATTAGAGTACATGCATAGCAAATATAAAATAAGCATATATAGCATACATATGAAAAGGAGTATGCATACAGCAATATGATATGATCCTACAAGAGATTTGGACTACTCCTATAGAAATTCCTATTGCAGTCCAAACTTCCTATAAGAAATTAGGATTTTTGGGAAAGGAGAAATTCTAGTCTAGAAATTCTAATAAATGTAGAAAATATTAAAGAAATAACCATCTACCTGAGACACTATAGACAGAAAATTTTCTTGGATGAAGGATACCTAGATGAAGTTGGTCACTTCCACTACAATAATGAAGAGACAACTAATTAAAAATCATTAAAATCCAGAGCATATTTTGGGGATGTACAGTTTTCAACTGAGGGTGACCCTCCCCCCCCCCCTCCCCCCACCACCAAGAGCCGACTTGCTAGGCTTTTTTCTACAATAATCAGGCCAGGAAATTTATGTTGATTTTAAGTCATAAATATTTTTATAAGTGACATCTGCAATAAAGCCTGTGATCATATTGGCAATACTATAGAGTTGTGGCTCCAATATTTTTCAAAAAATGTCAATTGTCATACAGAGGCAAAATGTCAATTGCCATATTAACAAGACAAAATGTCAATTGTCATACTAGTTAACGAGACAAAATGTCAATTCTCATACTAACAAGACAAAATGTCAATTCTCATACTAATGATACAAAATGTCAATTCTCATAGTAACAAAATAAAATGTCAATTCTCATACTAACAAGAAAAAATGTCAACTCTCATACTAACGAGACAAAATGTCAATTCTCATACTAACAAGACAAAATGTCAATTCTCATACTAACGAGTGAGATAAAATGTCAATTGTCATACTAATGAGACAAAATGTCAAATCTCATACTAACGAGACAAAATGTCAATTCTCATACTAACAAGACAAAATGTCAATTCTCATACTGACAAGACAAAATGCAAATTCTTATACTAACAAGATAAAATGTCAATTCTCATACTAACGAGACAAAATGTCAATTTTCATACTAACGAGATAAAATATCAATTCTCATGCTAACGAGACAAAATGCTAATTCTCATACTAATGAGGCAAAATGTCAATTCTCATACTAACAAGATAAAATATCAATTATCATACTAACAAGACAAAATGCCAATTCTCATACTAACAAGACAAAATGTCAATTCTCATACTAATGAGACAAAATGCAAATTCTTATACTAACGAGACAAAATGTCAATTCTCATACTAACAAGACAAAATGTCAATTTTCATACTAACGAGACAAAATGCCAATTCTCATACTAACGAGACAAAATGCCAATTCTCATACTAACAAGACAAATGTCAATTCTCATACTAACAAGACAAAATGTCAATTCTCATACTAACGAGACAAAATGCCCTGCTTCCAGTTGCAGAATAGGCTGAGTCATCTGTATCTCCAACATAAGATCCTCAGGCTTGAATTCTGCCGTACGAGGCATGAAAATACGCAGAATGCCATGATAGCTGCCAACAATGATCTTATCTAGAGTTAAAACCAATTTGTCTAGGAAACCAGCTGGCAATGTAAATAAGCTGATAAATTATGGAAGCCCATTGAGGGAAGGTACACTACACTGGAAAATTTTTTGAAAACTTAACAATTTGCCAAAACAAAAACAGAGTGCTTGACAGCTTCATGTAAACACAAACGCTGTTACTTTTTTGTACCATTTACAAACCAAGCATCTCGGGTCGGAAAATAGTAAATCAGAATGCTTTAATTTTGTACAAATATCTTTGCTCTATTTGAAATATTTTGTGTTTACAGGAATGCTAATTTAACTTGTAAACAAACTGCAATGGCACATAAAAGCTCAGCACATTAGAAATGGCAGAGTATAAAATTAATAATAATTTTCACTAATCAAAGCTGGTATGTGCAATGCAGGCTGACAGATCACATAGGTGTAAATTATGAAATGGCAGGTGTGAACTGCTGGATGTCAAAACTTTATACCAAATTATTATACAATTTAAGGCTGAAAATACTTAAAAATATGGTAAAATACATTGAACTTTACAACCAAAACAGGTTAATTAAACTGCTATTGCTTTTCTCGAGACGAATCAACGGAAATTTGGAACAGTACGACTATTAATACAAGCTGTACAAAACCAATGCCTTTTGTTCCATTTTACCTGAAGGCGAACTCTCGTTGTCAATGTTTGCAACGCACAAACACCCTTGGTCAAAGTCTTCCTCACTGCCTGCCCAAGTGGACCACCAATCCCTAGCTTTAAACAACGACATGAGACGATTATTTCAAGACATCTTTGCTTTCTTTTTGAAATTTTATTGTGATTGTTTTCACCGCCATTGGTAACAAGGCTGAGCCCGCCCTTTTCTTCGGTCAGCTGTAGTCCACACTAATCTACACAGCGGACCCAAGGAGCTTTTTTGCATTTTAGCATAAATTCCGTAAGATTGTAATTTTTAACCAGATCACAAATACAAACCAGATAAGATTGGTTGGCGGTACTCGAAATTACTGGCTAGTTTGGTAGAAAGACATTTAGTTCCCTTGGAAACCGATTTTCAAATGGCAAAGCCATAGAGAAAGGGATAGACAACCTATTTACAAAAATTGAAAATCACCACAATTATGTCCGTTTCAAACGTCGACATGCAACTAATTCAATTATTAAATGATGCACATATAAAATTCGACGAGTGAAGCAATTAAAGTCTTTAATTATGGTCAACCGTCATATTAAATTCGGTCGTCATATTAAATGCAACGGGCGAGCTAGGAACTGCATGCTTTCGACTGACGTTTAATTAAAACAAACGTCAACCTAGTTTCCAAGTAGACACTCCCCAAAAGCAAAGAAACATAATAAAACCATTTCTCTTACTGTTCAAATATCGTCAGCGATCTATGCTGCAAATAAAAATATGCAGATAATGCCCTGTTCAAAACGTATGCAACTGATCAACAATATCCCACACACTTTTATAAAAAAAAAATTTAATATAGCCCTGCGGTAGGTAGCCTGAGTCAGACGAATAACGAATTATCGTTATTCGTCTGACTCAGGCTATGCGGTAGGTAGCCTGAGTCAGACGAATAACGAATTATATTCGTTATTCGTCTGACTCAGGCTATGCGGTAGGCTAAATATGAATAATTGAGACCTTAAGATTGGCGTTTACGACAAACTGCTAACCGCAAACTTCATGCAAATTGGATTTGACTAAAGTAAGTTTTACAAGTTTTGGACAGCTAACTGGTTAATTCATGCTTCAACTTTGATGCGCAATTTGTCTTAACTTCGAACGGCTAACAGTTGACCTCAAAATACGATTTGAACTTTGCCTTTTGCGGTTATAGCAGTCTGCCATAAACGTCTCTATTATCATTTTTTCTGTGTTGGTGTAGTGTACTCAGGTGAATATGATGCTTGTGATGTTACTCTGAGTGTATATCCACACCGGGCAAGCTTGAAAAATATGCCTGGCCACGGTCGGTGTTCCCACCATAGCCAGGCATATTTCTCAAGCTTGCCCGGTGTGGATATACACTCAGAGTAACATCACAAGCATCGTCTCTATTACCTCAGTCAATATATCCATCTTATGCTGTATTGAAAAACTTTATTGTTCTTTAGGAACAGATTTAATTATTCAATTACGATCTGCTATTAGCAATTCTATTAATTAATTTGGAAGGGTGTTACAATCACATTTCTAATAGCCTCAAACCAAGAGCATGTCTGATCTCTTCTGTCAGAAAGTGCAGAATTTCCCTGGGGGTGGATGGGACTGTGTAAAATAATCGATTCTGACTTTTATAGAGAGAAGCTCCACTCTGTTTGAGAACCATCATCACGGGTCTGGGTGTTGCTGGGGACTCCACATAGATCCAGTTGTGTCTCAACCACACGACAGTTCTGTAGCTGGCACTCACACCAAAGTTTCCTCTTCATGTGTGCTTCCAGGCCGCGAATTATTATTCCTGTCTGAATTACCGCCGTTGGCAATCAATTTCCTCAATTGCAATAATGGAGAATCTGGATGCGGCTCGTCGTATCTTATCACAGAAGTGCCAGAAAATATAACACTATCTTCGCTCGAACGTCTTTTTCGTCTAAGAGATTTTTTCAGCTTTATCCATTGTTGTAATTCGCGACGATGCTTGCTTTTTAATCTTTCTATTTTTTTAGTTAATTCAAGTAATACTTCTTGCATTTCATACCGCAAAGATCTTTGGGTAGTTAAAAACTGCACTCTCTTGTTCGACTGATCTGGAAACGAATATTGCATGTAAGTAGGTATTTTGAATAAACTAGTGAAAATATTATAAATATCTATTCTATAATTTCATTTAAAAATATTCTGTTCTGTTCTTCTGTTCTGTTCTGTTCTGTTCTGTTCTGTTCTGTTCTGTTCTGTTCTGTTCTGTTCTGTTCTGTTCTATTTTGCTGTGCTGTGTTATGTTGTGACCAGAAATTGCCAATTTTAACACAAACCTATGGCAACGTTAAATAAAAAGTAAAAAACTAACATGCTAATGATAGCATTATTATCTAACCTGTCATGAACTTTGTGCGGCAAAGAGTTCGTTTTAAAAGCTTCTTAAAGTACTCAAACAAGACGCCCAAGAGAAACGCGAGACAAAAAAGAACAACACAAATGAACAGACATTGCTTGTAAACGATAAACGTCGGATCAATCAGCGACTTTGCACGTTTAATGGACGGACTCACTTCACTTTCCTAAAAGAACAGAATTGAAATAAGATTTTTCTTTAGAATTCGGAAAAGATAGACTTTGGGCCGCTGTCGACGGGGTTAAAGAACGAGTACTTCTATAACATCACAATCGAAAGATAGACAGAATGATATCCAATGATGGTTTCAACAACATACCTCAATCGTATGAACATTCGCTTCGATAATCTGAAAAATATCTTTTCTATTTTCGCTTATATACTCGCGAAAACATTTCTGCAGCTTCTTGGCCTCGCCAGCCAAGACAACGCCGTACGCTGAGGAATAATCATATATTTTACTGATGCGAATCCCAACATTATCAAACAGGTCTCTTCGACTCCCAAGAACGTACGCATCAACAAGAGCCCCCTTAACATAACCTTTGGTTAGAGCGTTGTATATGTCGTAGAGGTTATTGTAAGAATGCTCTAAAACGAGATGGATATATTCATTTGAATATAATATACACTTAATTTTTGTTTTATTTATTTTATATTTATGAAGCTTCTCACTCATGGATCTGATTGCAAGTAAAGACTACCAAATTACCTAAATCAGCACGGGCATTTTTCCTCACGGCAAGTTGATGTTCAGAAGAGTTTTGAATAACAGCCACCTGAAATGCAAAACACGTAGAAAATGTGAAAAGTAATTTCAAATTAAACATTTATTCGCTGTTGGTAAGGTATAGTGGAAATTCATACAAGCATCTAAGGCTACTACCGTTTTTCAATTTTTAGAAGATTTTGGTAGAAGAGCACTCCCCCAATTCCACCAAAATCACCCACCATGCACAAGATAATGTAATTACAAAGAAAGATTAAGCCTCAAAACTCAGTTGAAGATTGGGACAGACGACAGTAGAAAAGTGCTTAAGGTATATGTACACATAACCTTACCTTCATGCCATACAATTTCATTGGTTCAGCGACAACTTCAATCGTGATATTTGACGTAACAATGGAGGTATACAACGACACTATAATACAACCAGTTAATATCCAAAGTATACAAATGATCCTCCCTGCAAAACTGCGAGGAAATTTGTCTCCGTAACTATGGAAATATAAAGAATAAATACACTATTATACACAGTTGGTTTGCTTTATATTAGAACTATTAGAACTTAAAGTTAAAAACTTATAATTTAATTTCAAAGAACTTATAACTTAAACTTAGTTTAGTTTAGGTTTCCACCTTCAGTTACATTCGGGAAAGAAACAGTTTAGAACTGATTGACCTGTCTGGTATAGATAAATTGAGTTTAATTTAATTTCCTCCTGTACTCTGTAGTAAAGCTTGAGCAATAGGGAAAGACACTTCTGCCGACCTCTAGGAACAACAGTTTGGAACTGATAGAGCTGTCTGCTAAATTTCTCTAGGAACAACAGTTTGGAACTGATAGAGCTGTCTGCTAAATTTCTCTAGGAACAACAGTTTGGAACTGATAGAGCTGTCTGGTAAATTCATCTAGGAACAACAGTTTGGAACTGATAGAGCTGTCTGGTAAATTCATCTAGGAACAACAGTTTTTCACCTATCCAGTGCAATAATAGTTAAGCTCCGCTCAAACGAGGCTGAGAGTTGATGAGTGTTGCCAGTCACACATTGTTGCAGGGGACATTTCAAGCTCTAGATCAACAAAATAAAGTTTTGATGAGTGTTCCAACTATGTTTTAACTTAAATAGAATACATGATAGTGTTGGGAAAGCATTGAAGAACAGCTAACCAAGCTCGCGTGACTGCCAACTCTCACGCACTCTCAGCCTCGTTTCATCCGGGCTTCAGTCTAGTTTTAGTTAATATTACCCAATGGTTGTCATGGAAACCATAGACCACCAGATTCCTTGGGTGACACCAGGGAAAAATGATCGTGGGAATTGACTGTTGTTGCTGAAACTTTCCACACACCACATGACGATCCCAATCGCCGATGTGAACGCAACCATAAGCAGGACAATCGGTAACGTATCCACGATGGCATGCAACAACATAAAAGATGCAGTGTGGGTGTCATCTTCAAGGACGAGAAAAATCACCCCCGGAGATTCGACTAGGGGTATAAACTCGTACCGCTTGTAGTACTTCACTTGAAAGACCTGACCGTACATTGGGAAATGTAGCTCGATAGCGTCACCAACATGGTCCCGGAATTCCGACACCCCAGGTTTGAGATAACTCGAAGTGTCCCGCGCGTGGTTCTCGAAACGCATGACCGTCGGCGGGTGTGCGTGACAAAACCCGCAACACGTGGACACCATGCCTGGTAAGATTTTTGAAAAAATTCCAGAGACTCTGCTGTCATTTTTGTATATATAGGGAGGGTTGATCCACCAATTCGTTCTGTAATCTGATGCACATCTGCAGGTCTCTAGGAAAATGACATAACCAGTGTTCGCTTTCAATTGATGGGTTTTAGCATGCGTTAGGAGACAGAAGATGGCAGACAACTTCAGAAATGCCGATGATTTACAGGAGCAAGTGATTTAATGGGCACGTAATAAGACGAGATAAAAGAGAGCTGGTCAGGGACATTATGGAATGAGAAGATCAGAAGAATACTTTGGATGGTAGAATTTGCAGAGAAGACGAGGGAAGGAAGGCTGAGATGGTATGGACATGTAATGAGAAGAGATGAAGGAGAGCCAGTCAGAGACATTATGGAATGAAGAGATCAGAAGAAGATGTGGAGTGGTAGAATTTGCAAAGAAGATGAGGAAAGGAAGACTGAGATGGTATGAACATGTAATAAGAATATGTGGAGCTCAATATAAAGTTGGAAATGAAGTGGAACAATGAAAAAGAGATATCACAGAAGAGATGAATGATATAAAAGATGTAAATATCAAGGATACTGATGGTAAACACGACAGGGAGAGAAAAAGACAAGAACCTGAGCCGGCTTTGTACAAGAGTAAAACACACAATGAGGTGGATTTGTACTAGAGTAAAACACACAATGAGTTGGCATTGTACTAGAGCAACACACGATGTTGGTGACTACGGCATATTCAATATCGTAGATTACCTGCAGATATTTCAGTCGATGCTCCGTCTCCCTTCACAGTAAACGCTCTTAACCTTATTCTGTACACAGCATAAATCTCGAGGTCCACCAAATTATGTGAAAGAATATTAGGCCCCGTAGTATGAATGACTGTCTTAGTATGTTCATGCAAAGCATTTCCAGCCAAATGAGTCATTTCGAACTCAATTTTGTATCCAAGTAAAATACCGTGAATGTAAAATTGATCACTTATTGGTTTCCAAGTGAGAGGGATTGAAGTCGGAGTTGATTTGCTGATGGCTTTGAATTCCTCCGGTGCGCGACTTGGAACTAAAAGAGAGAACTTAAACTGTCACTTAAAACTATTGCATTTGTGTAAGGGAAGCTTAAAAAAGCTTGTATCAATCGGTCTCGTGTTGTCGCATGTAAGGAGAGCGCTTCCAGTTTAAGACTGATAGAAAAACTATCCACTGTAAACAAAGTTACTGTAGTTTAGTTTTAGTAGTAATATCGGATAATTAAAAAATGACTCTTTACTGGATTTTGTAAAGTCAGTTTAGGTTTTTTCCTATAACACTGAAGCAATGAAAGATGGATGGCCCTTTACTGGGTGAACTGTTTAAACTTGATGGAGGTATCCAATATAAACAAAGTTACCTACTTTTTCTTACTGGACCACGAGAGTGAACAGTTTAAAACTGATAGAGCTATCCAGTATAAACAAAGCTACATAGCTTCTTCTATCCTTTTTAATCCCATTGCACAAATACACCAATTACCACCTACCATCTTCGTCCGTCTGCACAGCAACCTCGGGACTTGCCACTCCAGCGCCAACAGTAGTAAAACCAACCACTCTTAGTGTATAATTTGTGTATTTCCACAGATTTTCGATATCAATATTACGATTCGTTTCAGAGACATTATACTCTCCTTCCCATTCAGATTCGTTTGCTCTCTTGAGAAAAATACGGTAGCCTCGCAAGTTCCCGTGAATTCGAGGTTGAGGAATTCGGTCCCATGCTACTTTAATACTTGTTGAGCTTGTGTTGTATGCGTACACGCTTTGTGGCCAAGTACTGGGAACTAAATGGGCGACAATGACATATTCTTAGACATACAGTTGTTGCGGAGTCTCCCAAGAAGGGTTTTTGTTACCTCCGAAAGCTCCAACTACTTACAAATCTGAGGACTGCAAAATCATTTTATTTTCCTAAAGGGCGATTTGCAGTACACAACGTTGGTCTAAAACTGTCACATGCAACCTGCTTACAGCTTCAAACACACAACTTGTAAAACAAGCACACAACTTGCTTGATACGTTGTTGTAAAGTAAAGAAAACTGGAGGGAGGGAGGGAGGGGGGTAACCTCTTATGCCTTCATCTATGACATATGAGGCTTTCAGATTACCATTTCGAAGACTAAATATAGAACGATTTCCCGGAGAACCATGGCCCCGGAACGGCCTGAACCCCCCCCCCCTCCCCCCACCCGTTTGAAGTTGTATACGCCCTGCACTACACGGGACCAGCACGTTTCCTTACCATCTTCGTCTGTTCGGATTGGAACAGTCTCAGAAAAAGGTCCACGACCATTGGATGTAAATCCAGCTACTTGAATATCGTAGAATGTAAATTTCCAAAGATTTCCAAGTATAACTTCGCCACTCGTCGGTGACACTGATATATTCTCGGAGTGACTTTTTCTTCTGTATTTCACAATATATCCGCGCAAAATACCGTTGTAACCAGAGGTTGATAAATGAGACCATTTTACCCAAATTGACGTGGAGTTGATTGCGCCAGCCGCAAGTTGGGTAGGTGCTAAGGATGGAACTAAACAGAATTTTTGAATGAGTGTCTGTTTGCGTGTCAGCACTGGGACTTCAAACGTGTTAATACGAAAGAATGATAGGTTATCATATGAGGGGCGAGTCGATACCAGTTTTATCGCTTGAAGGACGATATCACTATAAGCGATAAAACTGATATCGCCTCGTCCCGATTATGATAACATGTTTATTATATACTTGTGCCTTTATCAGGATCAGAATTTATTAGAAAATTAATGATTGCCCCAACGCAACGCATTTTTAAATTAGGGACACAAAAAACCGATATCAGTGAAAATAAAGATAGCAGTGACATATCGTTTTTATGGTACCCTGTTATCCCTTGTTATCCCCTGAAAAAGTATGTGATGTAGGTCTATATCCATAGACAACCCTTACCATCCTCATCTGTTGAGACCAAGATGCTCTCGCTAACATTTCCTTCCCCTTTGCTTGTGAATGCAGAAATTCGGAACAGATATTTCGTAAACATCTTTAAGTTATTTACAGTACGACTTGTTTCTCTTTCTTCTACACCAATCATATTCCAAGACTCGTTGCTAAGGTATACTCTGTAATATATGCGGTAACCAAGGATGACGCCATTTTGATGGTTGCTAAGGACCTTGTACCACTGAAGATGAATTGATGTTGAGCTCATGTTGCCAAACGAATGGAACACGGGTGATGCGCTTGGCACTACAAGAACAAGAATTGCATGAGAGTTGATGAAGGATATACTAAGCGAAAACTCTCATTAACTCTCATCAAAATTTGAACCAGTTAAAAGTTGATGAGAGTTGATGAAAGTTAATAGGAGTTGATGAAAGTTGATAAGAGTTGATGAAAGTTGATAAGAGTTGATGAAAGTTGATAAGAATTGATGAAAGTTGGTAAGAGTTGATGAAAGTTGATAAGAGTTGATAAGAGTTGATGAAAGTTGATAAGAGTTGATGAAAGTTGATAAGAGTTGATGAAAGTTGATAAGAGTTGATGAAAGTGGATGAGAGTTGGCGATCAAACACGAGTGAGAGTTGCAACTCTCATCAACTCTCATCTTGGTTTAACTGAGGCTTAAGTATTGTACCGTCTTCATCAGTGTACACCAGACTTCTGGCTGACATCCCTCCAATTCCTTTCGAAGTGACACCAGCAACTCTTAGTTCATATTCTGTGTACTTTCTAAGGCCAGTTACATGAACAGACAGATAGTCAGGAGGTACTGTGATATTGCGAACACCCTCGTTAGATGAGGATGGTTTGTAGAACAGGATATAGCCACGAAGAATGCCATTAATGTCGGCTCGTGATATGGTTTGCCAGCTAATATTCAGAGATGTGGAGCTCATATCATAACCAACAGGTTTGAGATTCGCTGACACATTGGGTACTGTCAAAAGAAGAGAAGAATAAGGCGACCGTTTACATGAGACTAGGAGGAACTCAAACCGAGATGATTTCGTTTTGGTCATAGTATAATTTATAATAGATGTTCACATGAAACCAGGACGAAAAATTGCTCACACCGGTCTGAAGTCATTCTGCTCGCTCGACCGAACCGACTATCTTCAGACCGAATGAATTCGGAGAGGGATGAATGTAAACACAATTACACAAATACATTTCAGACCGGTCTACTCTCGGCTGTGCTCTTGGCTTCAGAAGAACGCATGCTGACAAAAAATGGCGGACAAGGGGAATATATTGGAAGACTCACCGTCTTCATCGGTTAGTACGATCAAAGGGTCGCTAGGAATTCCCACACCTCGTCTGTTCATGCCAGAAATTCTTAATCTATACCAACTATACTTCTGTAACTGAGCCAGCCTGCCTCTGGTAGTATTTAGGAAGACTGTAATCCTGGTTTCGTTTGATCCTACATTGCCAGGCCATGGTAGCTCTTCGGAAATAACAGCGTATCCCAGAATGGCGCTCTGACTTGGCTGACTTGACAAGCGATTCCAGTGAAGTACCAGACTCGTTGAACTACGATTGAACGCTGTTAAATTTTGAACTGAGTGTGTTGGAACTATATGAAACGAAATGAAACCAGCATACTCATGAACACGCTCATATATCTTGTACCAAAATCAAGTATACTCATGAACATGCTCATATATATAGCAAAATTTGCAGATTCAGTCACACCTGTTATATATGTGTGATTTGGGGTTGGTTAGACCTGGAAAACCTATCACTACCAACTTACCGTCTGTTGAGGTAAACATTAATGGAGTAATTTCATACGGGCCAATTCTTCGGTCATTATACAAGGCATCGTAAAGAGACATTGCACCAGGAAAGTTTTGCGAGTAGTAAATGACTTCCATGGTGGCCACGACACTTCCTGGACTAAAAGAGGAAAATCAAAGATTTTCCTGAAACGCTTTTCAAATGTATAAATCCTTAAAACGACTAGCTTCGTTGCTGGTTAACTCTCTCAGTTCTAAAGTGTTTTTTCTAGAGGTCCAGTAAGGATAATCCCTTATTGATGATGCCATTTTAGGAATTAACTGAACGTAAACAAATCTAGCTCTTTAATTCTGGATAAATCTATCAGTTTTGAACTGTTCTGTCTAGAGGTCCAGTATAAGAGCCCTGCTTTTAAGCCTTCTAGTCCAGGAAAAAAACATAGAAAAGCTTGCCTGTATTCCATGATTTTTATATCTTTTATAGCTTCGTCTTTATGGAGTTCAAATATCTAAGAAATAAAATCTTTCTCAACATTAGTTAATCAATCTATGAAACGGATCACGTGTTCGTACTTACTGCTGTTTTCAGTTCTTTGCTTAAATCCTGGTACAGTTTGCTTGAATTCACCAAAAGCTCATCAGTCCAGACCATATCATCCAGCTTAAACTTTATAGTGAAATCAATATCTAACGTAAAAAATAGCACAGTACAATTACTATTCCCATACGCACTGAATTCAATTGAAATCAATTTAATCTTCATTTGAGTAGCTCTATCAGTTCTAAACTGTTCGCCTTAAAGCTCATTTTAAGCGAAAATGAGAGTTGATGAGTGTCTTCATCGCATGTTAACTCTTATCAACTTTGAACTGGTTTAAATTTTGCTGAAAGTTCATGAGAGTTTTCGCGACGCGCGCGGTAATATCTCATCAACTCTCATCAACTCTCATGCAACTCTTGTTCTCGTTTGACCGGGCTATCAGAGTTGAGAAAACTCTCATGCAAACTCCCACATTCTACTCTCATGAACTCTCTCCCATCAAGGCTCTAGGGTCATCCTTGATTTCGTATTGCTGCAGGAAGAAATATCAACTAAATAGAGATCCAGTGAAGGCATCCTATGCTGATCTATTTTTAGAAGAAGAAGGGGAAACCTATTCACAGTGAAGTCACATACGCTAACCACTATACCATCAACATCCCAGCATTACCTGGACATGGTTGAGTTTCACAATGCCTCGTTTCCACGTTAGGTCCAAACACGTGACAATCTTGTCCACCATAAAGAGGCGATGGTCTCGTACAGAACCTTCTTCTAATCTGCGTACCATTATCGCAACTTTTACTACACGGTCCGAATGACGACCACGTGCTGTAGTTTCCATGAATAGGACAGGGTCTTACGTCACAGGATGTGGCGTCACTCGTAGGTCCTAGTTTCGAACAACTGTCACCGCCAAATCGAGGTTCGGGGTTAGTGCAATATCGATAGCGAATTTTGACACCTAACCCGCACGTTTCGCTGCAGCCCGAAAACTCAGACCACTCGGAAAAGTTCCCATGAATCGGGCATGGCTGTGTGTGGCATGGACGAGTTTCGTTACTGGGGCCGAGTGTGGAACAATTCAACCCGTCGAAAAGAGGCAATGGGTTATTACAATGTCTAGTTCTAAATTGCGTCCCATTCCCGCAAGTGTGACTGCAAACACTAAACATAGACCATTCGGAGTAGTTTCCATTTACAGGGCATTGTGGGACATCACAATTCACAACTTGGACAAGAGGGCCTAGGCTCGAACAATCGTTCCCACCATGCATCGGGATCGGTCGGGTACAACTTCGATACCTTTTCTTAACACTGTTTCCACATGTACGTGAACATTTCGAAAATTCAGACCACTCGGAAAAATTTCCATGCACGGGGCATGGGGCTTGATCACACGGAACCTCTTCAAAATCTGACCCAAGCACAGAACAATTGTCGCCTCCAAAACGGGGAGCTGGATTCGTGCAAAATCGTCGCCGAATTTTAGAACTATTTCCACAAGTTTTAAAGCAAGGTGAAAATTCCGACCAATCGGAAAAATTTCCGTGGATTGGACACGGCCGTGTGTCGCAGGAGACTGTGTCCGAATCTGGACCCAGGTTCATGCAATCTCGTCCGCCGTAACTCGGGATAGGATTGTTACAAATGCGAGTTCGGGTTTTTGTAGAGTTGCCACATGTCTGAGAACAGACTGAAAAATTCGACCACTCACCATATCTGCCGTGTATAGGACATTCCCCAAGATTGCATGTCCTTATTTCATACCCTAACCCCAAGCAATTTCGGCCACCATATTTTGGTACTGGTTCCGTACAAGTCCGGTTTCGGGTCTTATAACCGTGTCCACATGAAGTACTGCACGAGCCGAACGCTGACCATGCGGAATAGTTACCATGAACAGGACAATGAGTGAGGTTGCAGACTTGGACTTCTAGAGGTGGGCCAATTCTTGAGCAATTCTGTCCACCATATTGAGGTTTGGGGTTGGTGCAATTTCGAGTTCTATACCATGTACCCCCACCGCCACATGAGACAGAACATTCTGAAAAGTTAGACCAAGAGGTGTAGCCCCCTGGAATAGGACAAGGTGTCATACCACACTCAATTGTCTCCATTGTTGGACCAATGTTAGAACAATTTTGACCTCCGTACTGAGGTTTGGGGTTGGTGCAACTTCGAGTTCTATACCGCGTGCCTCCATCGCCACATGAGACAGAACATTCAGAAAAGTTTGACCAAGGGGTGTAGCCCCCTGGAATAGGACAAGGGTCCTTACCACACTCAACTGTCTCTATTGCTGGTCCAATGTTAGAGCAATTTTGACCACCATACTGAGGTATAGGTTGGGTACAATTTCGAGTTCTATACCGTGTACCCCCACCGCCACATGAGACAGAACATTCAGAAAAGTTAGACCAAGGGGTGTAGCCCCCTGGAATAGGGCAAGGAATAAGTTTACACTCCACTGTCTGTAAAGCTGGACCAATGTTAGAACAATTTTGACCACCATACTGAGGTATAGGTTGGGTACAATTTCGAGTTCTATACCGTGTACCTCCACCGCCACATGAGACAGAACATTCTGAAAAGTTGGACCAAGTGGTATAGCCCCCTGAGATAGGACAAGGGTCCTTACCACATTCAACTGTCTCCATTGTTGGACCAATTTTAGAACAATCTTGACCTCCGTACTGAGGTTTGGGGTTGGTGCAATTTCGAGTTCTATACCGTTTACCCCCACCGCCACATGAGACAGAACATTCTGAAAAGTTAGACCAAGGGGTGTAGCCCCCAGGAATAGGACACGGGTCCTCACCACACTCAACTGTCTCCATTGTTGGACCAATTTTAGAACAATTTTGACCTCCATATTGAGGTATAGGTTGGGTACAATTTCGAGTTCTATACCGTGTACCTCCACCGCCACATGAGACAGAACATTCTGAAAAGTTGGACCAAGTGGTATAGCCCCCTGAGATAGGACAACGGTCCTTACCACATTCAACTGTCTCCATTGTTGGACCAATTTTAGAACAATCTTGACCTCCGTACTGAGGTTTGGGGTTGGTGCAATTTCGAGTTCTATACCGTTTACCCCCACCGCCACATGAGACAGAACATCCAGAAAAGTTAGACCAAGGGGTGTAGCCCCCTGGAATAGGACAATGTCCCATATCACACTCCACTGTCTGTGATGATGGACCTAGTTTGCTGCAGTTTCTTCCTCCATAATCAGGAATGGGATTGTTGCACCCTCTTTTCCTGGTTTTTGTACCAAGGCCGCATGTGACAGAGCAAGATGTAAAATCTGACCACGACGAGTAGTTTCCGTGGACTAGAAAAATAAAGAAAGATATGCGTCTGAAGTCTGCAGTACTTGAAAACTGAGTAGCCTGCTGCTCGGTTGTACAGCAGTGGTTTACGCACGTAAAAATCTCACAACTTGTCAAGAAGATGTGTTCGCAACAGGCTTATAGCAAGCTTGTCAACAAGTTGTAACAATGCTGTTGTTTTATCAAGTTGCTACAAGGTTGTCACTCGCAACTTGGTGCTTGAATTGCAGGACGATAACAAGTTATTGGAACGACTTTAACAAATCTGTTGAGCTCAACAACCTTGTAGCAAGTTGCCAACAAGCTGTTGACAACTTGTCAACAAACCGTGGGAACAAGCAGTGCGAACACATCCTGTTGACAAGTTGTTGGAACAGCATTGTTACAAGTCTGCTGCAGGTTTGTTACAACTTGTGCGTTTTTACTTTTGTACCGGCATCAATTCTCTCCTGTACTAGCACTGGGCCATCATCCTGATAGAGTATCCAGTATAAATAGATTTAGTTAAATTCGTACAATATCTTAACGTACCTCTTTCTTGATTAATAATCTCACACAGTCGTTCCTGTTTCAAACTCTTGAACCAAATGGCAAAGTCGTCAACTGCAATGGGAATTGCTTTCTTCCCTGCATGATTGGCTCCCAGAATCAACTTCTTCCCCTTTCCCTTTTCGTCCTTCCGCTCTTTGATGCTTGCTTTAAAATGATCCCCGCTCGTACAGTTAACAAACAAAGACATTTTCGGTTTAGCCTTTGCATCCCAAATTAGTATAACATGATGCCATATGTGAGACAATAGCTCTGCTTTTATAGTGTAGCTTCGTTTACGAGTGTTACCATAAAATATTAGAAATATTTTCCCTTCTTTGTGTTGTGTATTTATAGTTACTCCACGGCGTTTTCTACTCGGGCCAAGTTGCAACAAAACTCCATCGTGCAAAACTTTCTTTAAGTTCACCCAGAAACTTATAGTGAATCCAGACTTACATCGCGCAGGATCAGGAAGACACGTCCCACTAAAATCCCCCAGGATCACATACGATTTCAAAAGGTTGTTGACTTCTAGTAATTCTAACGCGTTGCCTTTTGGTCCTGGAAACAGATTGTAATTTCCAACAATTCTTGAATGTCGATCGCCTTTCAAATCTTCAACGATATCGTTGATGACTGCATCAAAGTCCCAGTAATTGTCTGCATCGTGAAACCATGGTATATGAGTGCCTACAGAACATAAAGCGAGTGTTGAGACCGGCGCTGTTCGGCTGTTGTATGAAGGACAAATATGAAGAATGGAGAGATTAGAAAACGATGTTGGGTTGTAGACATTAGCGAGTTTGTAGTCATTGGCAACCAACAACGGCGATATTTGTATTTGAGCGAAAACATACATTACTAAACTTTTAAACCACTCATCTTTCTTTTAAACAACCCCAAAATTCCCTGAAGTAGCAATAGTAAGTGAACTCACATAAAACACCCCAAGATTTGAACGTTTTACTCTGTTGGCGTGGTCACGAGCCGTGAAAATGAAGAGTTTGGCAAATACAACGCAACGAGAAAGTGCTCATCAACAAATGACATCTTTACTCTAAGATAAAGGCGACTATAATTTGCATTCGCTAATTGAGCATTCGAGTACGCCGTAGTTCTTCAAATCGTTATTTACATCATTGAAAAGGTGAGGGAAGCAAGGCTGTGATGGCACGGACGTGTAAGAAGAAGAGATGAAAGAGAGCTGGTCAGAGACATTATGGAATGAAGAGATCAGAAGAAGATGTAGAGTGGTAGACATTGCAGAGAAGGTGAGGGAAGCAAGGCTGTGATGGCACGGACGTGTAAGAAGAAGAGATGAAAGAGAGCTGGTCAGAGACATTATGGAATGAAGAGATCAGAAGAAGATGTAGAGTGGTAGACATTGCAGAGAAGGTGAGGGAAGCAAGGCTGTGATGGTATGGACGTGTAAGAAGAAGAGATGAAGGAGAGCTGGTCAGAGACATTATGGAATGAAGAGATCAGAAGATGTGGGGTGGTAGACATTGCAGAGAAGGTGAGGGAAGCAAGGTTGATATGGTATGGACACGTAATAAGAAGAGATGAAGGAGAGCTGGTCAGAGACATTATGGAATGAAGAAATCAGAAGATGTGGGGTGGTAGACATTGCAGAGAAGGTGAGGGAAGCAAGGTTGAGATGGTATGGACACGTAATAAGAAGAGATGAAGGAGAGCTGGTCAGAGACATTATGGAATGAAGAGATCATGTGTAAAGTGGTAGACATTGCAGAGAAGGTGAGGGAAGCAAGGCCATCAAATTAAATAAAGTTAGTTTAGTATTTTCTAGGCGTTACACAGAGATAACGTAAGTATTAAGATTCCGGTGCGGCGTTAGTGATTCAAGAAAATTGTATTATATAATCTTATATGGTGTTAAATGTCCATTACAAAGTGTAAATGGAACTACATATTGGCCAACATAATCGGCGAACTGTGCTTGGTTTATGCAGAGTGGGAATGAATAATTTGTGGTCAGTTCTAATAATTCATTTTGACTTGAACTCATCTAGTGGTAAAAATTTCATGTATGCAAGCACGTTATATTTAGTTGTTTATATATCGCTATAGCGACTCAGCTCTGTTTACGAAGAGTTCGCTGTTGGAATCCACCACATACAAGGTTATGAACAAGACTTCATTCTGAGACAACAATATTTATTTCCCATTTCGTGTCGTTCCTTCCAATTAGATTTAAATTTTTAATACTAATAAAAAATTCGCGTTCATTGTTTCATTTTAATTATTGGACAAGATGATTAACAAGATATTAATAAAAATCTAATGCATTTTTTATGTGCCTTGTACTTGAAGTATTTTTAGCTATCGGGCTGTTTACATGATCTGCCATGCCGCGATGCTGGCATCGATTTTATGTATTTTAAAAAAGTAACAAACAAAATTGATTTCACTTGATTTGAACATCAAAACGTATTCCTACATTCCTATTTTTTTGGCGTAGTGGATTGGAGTCTATCAACTTGTTTTAGACGACAGGATTTAAGATGAAAAATACCGAAATCGGCTCTGAGACGCGTTCTCGAAATCATTTGTAATAGTATTGATTAATAATAATAATGAAGAAGCGATAAGCTCAATGCCGTGGTTTGTGTCTGTATCAGTGGTCTGTACTGAACAGATTAACTATTAAACGCTCCAATTTTTCAGTAAATACTTTGTCTTGAGTTAGTGGCGCTATAAGGATGGGCCTTACTACTCTCACTTGAAATGGTTGAACATATACAGTTCACGGCCAATATTCGAATATAAACTGCCGAAATGTCTGAACTACTTGAAACACTTAAGATATTTCCAAACAAAAGTCTTTTCTTAAGTCAGAAGTAAGTAGCCGATATAATGGTCCACAAATAAAGCCTTCGGAGTTTTCTTAGAATTTTATAATTGTTTTTAACTAGTTCTCAGACACAAACCACAGCAGCTTATTGTAGAATATACTGCCCACACTGGTGTCCAACTTTTGAGAGATCATAATAATATATGCATGATGTTAACAAGATTTGACCTGACCGCAATTTGCACAACAAACCAAATTGACATGTACACGATTCAATAAAGACCACGCTGCGAAATAAATTGCGCTTTATGAAATGTGACATAAACCGCATCAACCAGAAATTAAGAATAAATAAATTATTTGTTAACTTTTCCTTAACACGGCTTTTTTAATAGAATCTGACGAATCTTGCATCGAAGAATCAACTGTAAGCCTTAAATTAAGCTACATTTCCACTATACCAGATAGCTTTCCGTAGCGGCGCGAAAAAGCATCTATCCGATACGGAATGTACAACTTTCAGAAGCTGAGCGAAACAACATTTCTCCGTTGCAATAATTCCTCTGAAGATAGCGTTCCTAAAAGGTACGGATAGATGTTTTTTCACGTCGCTACGGCAAGCTATCTGTACAGTGTAAACACAGCCTTATTTGCAATACAAATGAATCTGATGATCTTATGTTCGGTATACGTTATATGTATATTAGAAACTGTAATTATAAAACAGAAATCTGCACATATATTTGGCCAATGCTTTTGTCCGTCATATTCCGGATCAATCGCATGATGTGAGAATGCTTCTATAGTTTAACTCTACTAAACACTGCACTGCAAGAGAAAAAAAAGTGAAATCCATACTACGAAATTTGCAATTGCACCACTAAATCCATAGTATATCCATCCTATTTCGATACATCATATAGTATGCATGGGAATATACAATTATTATGGATAATCAAAATCCATTCTATTTCCAATAAAGGTTCATACAATTTCACTTCTATGGATCTTCTATGGATATTTTCCAGTGCTGTAGATTTTTTTTTCAATTTTCCCATTTTCACTGAAGCATTTCAGCACTGATAGATCGAGCTATATCGTGCATGTCTTAATGTCACTTACCATTTTGATTCTGAGGACTGGTTTGAGTCCAAGAAATCTGAAAAAGAAATTTGAGCTGGAATAATGACGGTGCATAGATTCTTGTGAAAGGATTTGTAATCTTAATAAACGAAAAAGTGATTGGTATAGGTCCAACCTTGGATACACGGTTGTATTTCAGACATGTTAAGTGCTTCTATTAAATGTAATAAAACCAAAGCTATAGAAAGAGGACGCATGTAGGACAGTCGAGAAAGTTTTCCTCAACAAGCAACTCTGGATATAGATGCTCGCAGCCACTGAGTGGCTTTTATGTCTATAAGGGCCTTTATCTTTTCAGGCTGAATTATCTATATACACCGAGCCTGAAGCTGGACCTTCGACAACAAACACTTCAGGCGAGTTCATTCCGGCAGGGTCAACAACAAAACCCCCTTGGTCTTCTTGTTTAAAAGCTGGTAAATACAAACTAATGGAATATTTAATTTAGCAGTGAGTTTCGCTGGCTATTCATTGGGAAACAAAACACTGGTCATGACGCTTTTTGGAACAGTTCTTGACCCGCACACGATCAAGGTAAACTTGCTCAACAAGTGCTTTCTCACGCCATTTAATAGCCAGTAGAAATACAAGGCAATCGCTCATTTTGTATCAAAATTTGACAAAAATCAGTACTAACTACACTTCAAAAGCCGAATCATTAAAATATTCTACACCTCAATTCAGCGTTAATTGGAACTGAATAATATTTTCTTACCGTTAAAAACAAACCAAGGATGACAAGCGGCGGCTTCATGGATATTACTTTTCAAACAACATTCTATATGGAAGAAACAACAAACTCGAACTTCAGCTTAAGAGTCAAATGCATTTATATTTGTATGACTGAGCAATCTAATTGATCTATGATTAGGACACGTTTAACAAGCTTAGAACTATCGTCTCTGATTGAGTTCGCGTCAGATTTGATCTCCGACCGTATATAAATGATTCACGCCTCACTGACGACTTTAGATATGCAAATGTTTGATATATGATAATAGTGGCATACTTATTCATCGATAAAGAAATTATCTTCAAAGATGTCAGAAATTGATAGAACGCAGTTGCGTTGTAAGTCGAGCAGGGCTGGTTAGGGCTTAATATAGTTTTGGATAGCTTATAGTTAATCATCGATATGCCAGGAGTAATTTCTAATCTGAAAAACTCGGAGAAGATGCAATAAAAAATCGATAATACTGTAGGGCTGAGACGAGTCCTGCTGCAGAGATAAATGCTGGATGATACGGAGAAAAGATGAATGCGAATGTTAAGATGGATCCTGGAAGTGTGGCTGAAGCAGAGATTAGAAGAAAATATGGTGTGGTAGACTTTGCAGAGAAGGCGAGGGAAGCAAGGTGAGATGGTATGGACATGTAATAAGAAGATATGAAGGAGAACTGGTCAGAGAAATTATGGAATGAAGAGATCAGAAGAAGATGTGGGGTATAGTAGACATTACAGAGAAGGCGAGGGAAGCAAGGTTGAGATGGTATGGACATGTAATCAGAAGATATGAAGGAAAACTGGTCAGAGAAATTATGGAATGAAGAGATCAGAAGATGTGGGGTATAGTAGACATTATAGAGAAGGCGAGGGAAGCAAGGTTGAGATGGTATGGACATGTAATAAGAAGATATGAAGGAGAACTGGTCAGAGAAATTATGGAATGAAGAGATCAGAAGAAGATGTGGGGTATAGTAGACATTACATACAAGGCGAGGGAAGCAAGGTTGAGATGGTATGGACACGTAATAAGAAGAGAAGAAGGGGAGCTGGTCAGAGACATTATGGAATGAAGATATCAGAAGAAGATGTGGAGTAGTAGACATTGCAGAGAAGGTGAGGAAAGCAAGGCTGAGATAGTATGGACACGTAATAAGAAGAGATGAAGGAGAGCCAGTCAGATAAATTATGGAATGAAGAGATCAGAAGAAAATGTGGAGTAGTAGACATTACAGAGAAGACGAGGGAAGCAAGGCTAATGTAGATTAGACTTGTAATAGGGATAATATAAGGCTAAGCTGAATAAATACACTTGGTCACCTGTCATATTTCATATTCTGGCGACTTCTTTTGGAGTTTAACATGTGCAAATCTGAAATTTCATCGCTTCAAGTGACATATATACTTAATATTATTTAAATTAGAATTTGGAAACGTCATATAATTGATATACTAAGCATATCTAGATTCCTCTTGCTCCGTTATAACTCCGTGCTTAAAATTTTCTACTAATGTTTTTAAAGCGTTATTGACAGGGGTCCAAATGGGCAAATACTCGGCACGCTGACCCCAGACATCGCCTTAGCTGGCGACAATTTTCTTCAGTGTAAAAAAATGAATATACGGGTATCGATATACACGTACAAAATTTAGACAAAGAATGAAGACATATAGTTACTGGAACTATATTATGTGCTAAAAATGAATATACGAGTATCGATACTGCACGTTCAAAATTTTGGCAAAGAATGAAGCCATTAACTCGGCCAGACCGGTCAAATTGTTGTATAGAACAGGAAACTTTTGGGCTTCGGACCTTTCTGACCGGAAAATTAGGATCAAATTAAAAGGAGGCCCATTTTCGCAATATTTTTGAGAAACGTGGGCCAGATCTATCCATTATACCGAGACAGAAATTCGGGTCCATTAAATGGAAAGCGCCCCCTACGATGAAACAAATGTTTTTCTTTTAGCAATCCTTTCCGACGCAAATATGCAGCAAGGAAAAGTGCATGTGTTGGTACATGTGGCTGTTTATATCATCTGACTTTGCTAGGATGTATAACAGCACTACATGTATTCACAAAACTTTCACGCGGTGATTCGTACGGTTGACTGTGCTCAGATTCGTCCCGGCGCTTCGTGTGTCTGCATGTATGAAACTAGAAGGCGCGAAATTGCGTTCCGATTTCATTCTTAACAACTAAGTAAGCTATTCGTCGTTTTTCATATATATAAAATACACATTAAATTAGTTTTTATTTAGATATTAAAATGATATAAAATAACAAACTATATATTCTATATAAGAAGTGTTTTTCCTACCTTATACATACCACATCAAATTTCATTCCTCTGACAGCAGTCATCCATTAATATGAACATTAATGAACAACAGAATATAAACAATAACTGCAAAACAAGACGCAAGCTATTTTTAATATACAGGGGTGTGAAAAGTTCATTAAATATTAAAGAAGTTCTAAGCTGAACTTTGCTCGCAAGAGCTAGAGGTTTCGCGCACGTATTGAAGATGTACTTGTGTTTTTTACAACTTTCGATTGCCATATTCTGCGGCACTTCATGTGTTTTCTAGCATGCTTTCTTTGAGAACTTCAAGTGCGCATTCATTATAAATTAAGTAAAAGTCACGGGTGATAAACAATTTCATAAACGCAAGATAATGCATGAATGCATCTAAATCAGAAAAGCCTGAATTGAAAGTTTTTCAGCAAGACAAACGCGTATATACTATATAGGGTTATTTATACGAGCGAAAATTTTTATCTTATTTAACTCATTTATGTTTGTATGGCCCTATAGTGAACACTAAAAACCTTAAATATAAATTTATTTAATCTAGTTATAAGTGCATGATGCATGGATATAGCTACATATCAGTTTTATCTGTTGTATATCCGTGGAGGTCCCATAAACGTCGTTCCATAGGTCGAAACGTACATAAACTATAAACAGTCTAAACTAGGTGTTTCCTTGCTCATTAAAACGTTTAGTTAAAAAACAACTTGAACATTAAATATTTTACACCATGCAGTAAAGCCGGGAAAATGTCCTCAATGAAGGCATTGAAGACAAGGGTTAGCTAGATTTTCTCAAATTTTATTACGATGAGGAATTGTGATAGGAATTGTTCCAAAACGGGCCATATATTTTTCAACTAACGAGGAATTTTTAATTTTTCACATTTCCTTAAGTAAGAATTTTTTCATCATCCCATGTTTTCATGCAATCATACATTCTCATTATTCATTTATGATTATCGGTAAAAGATATATAAAATGACAGGGGTACAATAATAATGATTCATTAAATGCTTAATATAAAGCGGAACATGTGGAAAATTAAAATAAGTTTGTTTTTTCGTATATACTGACAGGTAAGACGGAAAGCTCCAAAAGAATAAGATACTGGCTTACTGCAATAATTTTCAAACCGAACATGCAGAGAGGTTAACACGTTTACACTTGTAGCGGATAGCTTTTCGTAGCGACGTGAAAAAACAGCTATCCGTACCTTTTAGGTAACGCTATTTTCAGAGGAATTATTGCAACGGAGAGATGTTGTTTCGCTCAGCTTCTGAAAGTTGTACATTCCGTATCCGATAGGTGCTTTTTCGCGCAACTACGGAGAGCTATCTGGTATGAAATATTGTTAGACTGTGCGCAACGAAGGTAACTTTTTGTTCCATTCAAAGCGAAATGTCGGCAAAAATCTAACTGAATCCATGCATGCATGAAATTATCCACAACAGCCTTGTATAGCTAAAGTATTTCGTGGTCTTGTAATCTTAACGTCTTAAATGACCACAACTGATAATATAGTTAAATAATTAAAAACTGAATAAGAAAAATCTTCTTAAAAAACTCCCAATTGAAGATAAGAATCTTCATGCATGTGGTCAGTTCGTGAGAAGAAGATTTTCCTCGGTATCTTTCAAGTAAAGTATATCCACTCAATCCTCTCATACACAACACGAAGTTTCTAGAAAATGCTATAGATCCTACTTCATAAAGAATCGACATTACAAGAATCTACTAGCTTTGTTTTCACTTAAGTTAAGACAAGTGCATGATCAATTTTTAATTTTATGATGTGGGGATTTTGGAGGAAGCAATAATCTATACTTGACATGCGAGTTGATAAGAGTTGGCATGAGTCACGAATTGTTCCTGGGACATTTCTAGCTGTTGATTAACAAAACAAAAGTGTGATGAGTGTTTCAACGACGATTTAACTTCAATAAAGTACATGAATTGATAGGGTTGAGAAAGCAAGGTCAGCTAACCAATTTTGAAAATCAAGATCAAGGTATTACAAATCATATTTTAAAAATCTAAATTTACGAAAATATTACCGAAACATTTAACAAATTACGGTACATTAATTCGAAATTTGAAAAAGGGTATGTTCGGAACTTTTTTACAATACTCCCCCCATGCATTAACAACTGAAATGTTTCATGTTTCTTATTCGTCGTCCTTTCTAAGACCCCAGCACGACCCTGTCTCATCCTTAAGCTCATTTGATCCAGACTTTATACGCGGGACTTTACAAGAATCTGCCCGCTTTGTTTTCACTCAATTTAAGACAAGTGTACGATCAATTTTCAACTTTATGATATGGCCATGTATGCATGGGATATTGGGAGGGGAATAATCTATACTTGACCACTGTGGGATAGCGACCTTGTCCAACCTAGCTTGTTTACAAACTTGTAGGACAGAGGTTGTTAAGTCCGTTTACCACTTTTTTTTTAATATTAAATAATTATTGAACCCACGATGCGGATCATAAAGATTGATGATATAACTGCGTATATATTTATGAACAAAAATTTGCATGTTCACCAGATGTTTTTAGGGAAAACCAATAACACATTTTTCATTACTATTATTACATCTAGGAATGGACATATTAACTTTTGATCAGCTGACTATGATGATATAGAATTTAAATTTAATATAGTCTTCGATATGGGTTGATACCACAATATAATCAATACTGTAATCAAGATATCGAGTCAGGCCCAGTTGATTGCAAGGAACCGGAATTTTTCTTTTACAAACTGAAGACTCTGTCTTTCGCAATTAGAAAATTAGAAATTACGATTAATGATATAGCTAGCTCTACGACAATATATATGACTATAGTAGTACATGACATATGTCTGAAATTTGAAATCCAGCAGATGCCAGATGGTTTGAACTGAAAGAATTGAATATATTAAGTTTGGTGTTTTTGGTTCACGAAAACCTCTTGATGACAGAGAGGTCGTTGATTACGAAAGCTAAATATTAAATTCTATTTCACAGTAACATTATCGGCGGCCGCATTTGCTCAAAAACTATTTTAAGGACACCTTATACATCACATCATTCAGTTCCTGAAGTCTTGGTGAAACCAAAGGTATATAGTGCCGAAGACTTCGAGTTCGAGAATGAAACTACGGCTATACGTTTCCACTATACCGGATATAGCTTTCCATATAGCGGCGCGAAAAAGCACCTATCTGATATGGAATGTACAACTTTCAGAAGCTGAGCGAAACAACATCTCTCCGTTGCAATAATTCCTCTAACGTACGCCGGATATAGGTGTTTTTTCCACGTCGCTACGGAAAGCTATCTGTCTAAACGTAGCCAAAACTGTAATCAGTTAAATTTATTTGTATTATAATATTTATGTTTATATATACATCTATCATGATTCAAGACTGGAAGGATACCTTTTGCTGTTATTGTGGCTGATCGCACAGTGATAATTCCTGGTGATAATTAACTTTATATAAAAAGAACCAACAACTGCAAATTAAGCCCCGTTCACACAACGCAAAATTACAAAAATAAGCATGAGCATAATCGGCATAAACCGCGATACTAATTCGTGTGTACGTGCGGCTATATGTTTGCGCTTATTTATACTCACTATATTATATAATATAACTCCAGTCTTTGTCTTTATTCCTTAATCCTTCAAGTGTCTTCTACAAACGCGGCGTTTATCAACTTAACTGTTATAATCAAATGATGAAGATTCGAGTCTTTTCGAGGTTACGGTGAAAAGCTCTGCGAAATTAGCATATATTATTGCGAACTTTATGAAACCATAGGGGAGTGTTAGTATATGTTAGTGTACCGTATAAAACGCCTTTCCGAAAGAACATGCGATGTTGGATTAAATTAATTTCTTGCTGTTTTCTTTAGTCTAGAAAAATTGTCATCAACGAATTTAATTGATAATAATTAATACCCGCAGAGTGTTGTGTAAACGTCGTATCCAAATTATATTTTGACTGATTTTTATACGAGTTATAAAGTCGCTGTTAACCCTAACAATTCTACACTGTCCCCCCACCCTTCCCACAGAGTCCCAGTATAAGGGTAGGCCATCCTTATATACCGTTATTTGTTCAGTTTTACTACGGAAGTATCGAACAGTATCAGTTTAACACTGAGTCAGTTTCCTCAAACACTTCTTACAAATCCTTCAAAACTTAAAATTTACCCATGCAAAATTCCTACTGTGAAGACAGAAACTTTGATAGTATACACCAGCCATAAGTTTATTTGTACTAGCAATACCTAGATCTCTACCAGTTCTAATCTGTTCTCTCTGGAGGTCGAGTCGGAAACAAAGCGATGTCTATCCGAGTATTGTCTATATTTATTACATTTCTTTCTAAATATTTACGCCTAGTAAGATAATTAGCATAAGAAGGAATACAAACCTACATATTACTATAGGCTTGCAAAGAAAAATTCCCTTGAAATGTCTTTTTGATTCGCCTTGGCAATTTGTTAAGGACTGTAAAGCTGCACCGAAGCTTATGGCGCACTTTTTTTCTTGTTTCTTAATGAGTTTAATGGCAGTTGTGCCTGTGTGGAGCAATTGTTTCACTACTTTGTTTTGCGTGGCAAACTAATAATGACACGATAATTGCACACCTCCCAGCCAATCAGATCCTACCAGTAATTTTGTCATAAAAGAAACCTATAGTAGACCTAGCTTGGACGCATCTTCCTGCTCGAGACGTCGAAACGATTTTAATCTTTTTCAAGTAATTCAGAGACAACCCACGGCAGAGTTTTGTAGCATGTCATAACGTCGCGCATTTTATGCGAACTGAAACTGTACGTTCTAAGATCGTGCTTCGAAGAATGAATCATAAGATTCTGCATTCAAGTTGGTGTCCTAACTAAGCCCGCCATGCAAAACGACACCAAAGGATAAAATATTAATATTGTAACAGCAATTAACTGTCGAGCATTTTAGGTAAAGTAATAATTTTGCTACGTACTTAATTATTTATGCGAGGGAAGTGCATACACATCTGTTTATTTAAACAGACCTTTAGCAGATGGCCACAACTTTATTTTTAGCACAAATAATAGAATGTGCCCGAAACATTTAACTAAACTTTCTCCTAATTTATTTGTAAGACCTATGTAAAAACGCTCAAGTTGTAACAAGCCTGCAGCAGACTTGTAGCATGCTGTTCCTTCAACAGAATGTGTGCAAACTTGTTCCAAGTTGTTCCAACAACTTGTTATCGTCCTGTAATTCAACAATTTGTCAACAAGTTGTGAGTGACAACCTTGTAGCAACTTTTACTGGACTTCTAGGAATAACAGTTTATTACTTAATTAATTCATTCTCACGTAACATGAGAGTGCCAAGTCACGTATTGTTCCCGGCTGGGACATTTCTATTTCTATGGCTATAGATTAACAATTATACAAATTAATATGATGAGTGTTCCAACTATGTTTTAACTTCAACAGAATACATGATAGTGTTGGGAAAGCATTAAGAACAGCTAACCAAGCTCGCGCCAACTCTCATGCCCTCTCATAGTCCTCGTTTGATACGTGCTTTAGAACGAAACTGTACTTCAACAGTATAAATAATTTACTTTACTTCTATGATTATCGTGTGGGATTTAGTTCCAGACACTTAACTTTGTTCAGAATTCCCAGAGCGATACTGGAGACTCCTAGCAACAAGTTCAATGGCAATGCGGTCGTCAGAAAATCTCCTTTTTGAACACAAAACATGCTTTATCTTCTACAGACATTGCTAGCTACCTCGCATGCTTTCTACGGTAAAAGGTTACCGTGGTAGTGTACGTGAAAATAAATTGACATTCTCTTGCAAACCATGACCATGTATGTCTAAAACGATTAAGAAAACTTTAGACGAAGGTCCTTCCTTAACCCTTAGCCAAAGTTTATAAGCAAAATCTTTAAATCTTCCGCTTTACAAGGCTCAAATTACTTGGCACAAAAATAAACGTCACATTGCATGAAAGCCGATATCAACAAGTGAAAACAAAGTACCATTGAATTCTTAAAATCGATAGCAGAAACTAAACGTAAGCAGTCATCTAACTTATGCTCACTTCTGCGAGGTAAATAAATATATTCCTCGCTAACCTCAGTTAAAAAATGGCGTTCAGTAGGGCACTATATTGTATACTGTTTATTGGGATGATATATTTATCACCCAACGGGGTGATATGTCGCGATATATTCACAGCTTACAATCATATGGCAAAACTCGCGTCTGTCGAACTCGAGTTACATCAAGCATTACAGGACTATATCAGCGCCGAGGAAACCAAATTGCTGGAACTTCGGGAGTTTTATAAGCTCATAGCCAGAGCAAGACAACTGCAATCAGACGCGACAACGTCGTTAACTGATTATGCCGCAAACCCGATCCGTGCGTATCTAATGTTGAAGCGCTTTGTTTGGCAGTGGAGACAAATTAAGGAAAAAATGGAAGGACAGCAAGGTTTGTTGTAGAATTATATTTAGGCTTTATACTTTAGATTTGCAATTCAACTCTATTTAACTTTATATTTATGACGCACGAAATTGCTTTGTGATAACTAAGGGTGTTGTATTTGTTGACATATTTACGTTGCCTATATTAATATGTTCCCTATTGTAATAAATATAAAATAGCCATTCAGCGCGGAGCTAAGGTTGTGTATGTTAGAAACAGTTCAACTTTATATAGTTTGAATGTCGTATTTAAATTCAGTAGCTACATTGCCAAAGTCCGATAAGATTCATATTTGCATTTCTTTGTTCATAATGGTCTAGTGCGCGTTCTTTGCGTGCGGATGATGGAAGCCACGCAACGTGACAAAAGAATTGTATTTATATTTTTCTACACTAAATCTGTAAGCGGAAAACCATAAATATTATCATAAATATTATTCAATCTTTGAGTTTTGGTCATTTCAATAGTTATTTTAGGTCTTGCTCCAAAATATAGTGGATGATTGTGAGTGATGCGAACGTGCCACATTGCATGTCTTAAAATATAAATGAGATTATTAATTAAATTAAAGATAAGTACGTAATATACATAATCAATTTATTATATTGACAGTGGAGTGATACAATGATATTACAAATGTATTTGACGAAAACATAATATAATAGAAGAATTTTCTCACGGCTTAGAACTAACAGCACTTGGGCTCAACAAGTAGTTTCATACTAGATTTATATTCATTGGGGAGGGATGGTTTATAATAAAGTTATTTGTAGGCTTAGGGAAGAAGCACGATTATTTTCAATCAATCAATTGTGATCAATAAGTCAACCAATATCTATCTATCATATAGATCATGATAAACAAATTAACAATAATCAATCAATGATCAAAAATATTCAGTTGATCAGATATGATCAATCAATTAAGATCAATAAATTATGATAATCAATCAATAATGATCAATCAATCAATCAATAAATTATGATAATCAATCAATAATGACCAGTCAATCAATTATGATCAATCAATTAAGATCAATTATGATCAATTTATCAGATATGATCAATTAATCAATTAGTTATGGTCAATCAATTAGTCATGACCACTCAATTAAAGTAAATCATAATCAATAATTATCAATAGATAATTTATGATCAATCATAATCAGTCAGTCATTAGGTCAGCAAGTCAACGATCAACAATCTACTTTTGTATAGTCTTTCCAAAACCATTCAAAATTCTTTTCATATAACCCGCCTAGAATTGATTCTGGGGCGTCTGCGAAACTACAAGGAACTAATGCCTTCAGAAGTGGACTTGGATGGAGCACTGAAAGCGATTGCTCGAATCCAGGAGACGTACCACCTGCCACCTTCATACATCACTGCAGGACTGCGAGAAATGCCAATGGAGGAGTCACAACTGGGTATCCAGGATACGTACACCATAGGAAGAGATTCTTATCATCAAGAGAAATATTATAATACGAAGATATGGATGGAGGAAGCATTTCGACAGATGAACGGATCATCTTATAAAGATGGTGTAAAACTGAGCGACATCCTCGATCACCTGAGCTGGGTGGAATTTAAGGTACAGCACATTTTCTTACGCTACATCTAATCAGCTCCCGCATTGTTGGAAACTACCTTGATTAATAAGTAATAGAGTTAATAAAAGGACGGTGTTTTAAAAAAGATATAAAGTTACAGAATCAGAGATTATTCGTAACTGGTACTACCATATCAGAGATTATTCTCCGATCCGAGCTGACGTCGTCAATTTTTCATTTCACTATCTACAACAGATCTTATCAAAAATGGACCTCAGATTTGAAAGCTTCGTGCTCAAATTAGTCAAAACCGAAAATTTCACGATGTTTGGAAGCGAGTTTCGGCGTTTTGAAAATGTTGTTTTCCTCTCCATTTGATTGGAATTTGCCGCTGTAGTGAAAATGTTTTCAAAACGCCGTAACTTGCGTCCTGAATGTCGAAACATTGTGAAATTTTCGGTATAGGGTAAGAGGTCCTGCCTAATATGAACATGAAAAATCGATAATTTATATATTTTAAGTTTTTAACCGAACGGAACGCGTTATCTTCTATACTTTGTGAAGTGTTGGACGAAACGACTAACGAGGGAGGCAATTCCCAACAGCATGTTTAGCCTGTTATTCCCTGATTCCCTCACATGATATAATTTAGATGCTTGGTTATCTTTGTTTCATTTTATGCTTACATTATCGGAACAGTGGTCATATCACAAAAGGTGTGTGACTTGGCTACGAATATCCACGCGTTATCCGCAACGTACAAATAATTTTCAGGCCGTATAATTATGACTCTTATTTCAACATTTTATTTTAGTTAGGGAATGTTCAGCAAGCAGTCAACTATACCGTGGAATGGTTGAGATTAGGTAGGTGGCTCTCCTGTTTCTACAGTATACATTTAAAATGTCATTTCTTAAGATGTTTAAGGTGGGGCAGGAGACAATCGCAGCACAAGCTGCAAAATTAATGAAGCTGCAGTACATCTTGTTTTGTTAAGACATCTGGAATGAGGGGCCAATGTCTTATACAAGATTATCTCTTTCTACATTTAGAGCCAGATCACATACGTGCAAGGACAAACCTGATCTATATGACGAGAGAGAATGAGAGGCTATTGGGAGACAGTAGCAGTAAAGTAGAGAAACCTGATGCGGCGAAAAAGGAGAAAAAGTTAAAACCACATCAAAGAAAACGATACGATTACAAAAACTTTGACTGGCCCACCGAGAAAAAAAATTACAGAAGATTGTGTCGTGACGAAGAAATTCTTACATACGAGGTAGCCGGCTCTCTTTATTACGTGTCCATACCATCTCAGCCTTGCTTCCCTCACCTTCTCTGCAATGTCTACCACCCCACATCTTCTTCTGATTTCTTCATTCCATAATGTCTCTGACCAGCTCTCCTTCATCTCTTCTTATTATGTGTCCATACCATCTCAACCTTGCTCCCCTCATTTTCTCTGCAATGTCTACCACCCCACATCTTCTGATCTCTTCATTCCATAATGTCTCTGACTGGCTCTCCTTCATCTCTTCTTATTAGGTGTCCATACCATCTCAACCTTGCTCCCCTCATTTTCTCTGCAATGTCTACCACCTCACATCTTCTTCTGATCTCTTCATTCCATAATGTCTCTGATTGGCTCTCCTTCATCTCTTCTTATTACGTGTCCATACCATATCAAACTTGTTTCTTAAACGATAACATAAAATCCTCGCTACTGCCTTGAATTGGCAGCTCCAGGAAATCGCGACTTAAACTTTACCTCGTCTCTTATTTCGCAAGGAAAAACAAGACGACAACAAACTAAAATGTTCCTATTTCAACAAAGACCCGTTACTGCGAATCAAACCAGCTAGGATGGAGCGAGTGTGGGAGAAGCCACCTATTTATATCTTCCGAGATTTTGCAAGCAAGAAAGAAATCGAAGATCTGAAAGCTATCTCTGGACCACAAGTAAGCACAATATTTACTTTATAAAGGGTAACGGTAAAGCATTATAATGGAAGGGTTGATTTTATATACTAAGGTGATGTCAATGTAAGGTGTATATAACTTTCAAAATTTTTTCCCCAGCTTTCCAGAGCAACAGTTCATAATCCAACAACGGGAAAAATTGAATTCGCTAATTACAGAATCAGTGAATTGTAAGTACGGTATGACAAATTGACGTATGGTCGGCTTACTGTATGTGTTATTTATACAAGACATTTCAGGGGAAAATTAGCATAATTTACGACTACATTCACGTCTCTGTATCTTGTACTGTAGTTCTTGGTTATATGATACGGATGGGGAAGCTGTTGCAAAAGTCAACGCTAGATTGGGAGCGGTTACTCAGTTAGATGTCTCAACTGCTGAAGGTTTGCAGGTTAGTCTGAAATCAACTGTCACCTGTCTAGTAAAGGCCGCCTGTGGCCATTTTTAGGATTTCCATTGAACATTTGGATGGTCTGATGTTAGAAAAACAAAATAGTAGGAATAGTAAAGTTATAAATTGCACATCTGCTAAATGATTCCGCAAAATATTAATATTTAATATCATGTGAAACCAACTTATTACTTTAGGTGCAGAATTATGGCATGGCAGGTCAATATGATCCGCACTTTGACTTCTCAAGAGTAAGTAAATATGCAGAGCTTCAATAAATTCTAGTTCATGTTTCACTCATGTAAATTAGCATGCATGTTTATGACGGCATAAGTGAATATTATTTCATTAATTTGAGTTTCTATATTTCTTTGTATTCCCAGATCAAACTTGAAAAAGCCCGTGCCGTTAAAGTAAGTCCATATAATATTTCCTATTTAAAAACTAATTCTCCTATCTGATACCTCCTAACAAAAACGCCAATCTTTATTTAAGAAAAATGCATGGTAACAGTATATAACGAAACAATCCTACATCTTTTTACTGATGATATATAATACTGTTAGAGTGGCAGGGCTTTCTTCACGTTTGAGCGGTGACTGAACTGAACTACACACTTAAAAATCTCACAACTATGAGCTCAACAACCTTGTAGCAAGTTGTCAACAAGCCGTGCGAACACATCCTGTTGACAAGTTGTTGGAACAGCATTGCTATATACAAGTCTGCTGCAGGTTTGTTACAACTTGTGCGTTTTTACGTGTGTAATCTTCAAACTATAATCTCACAACTTCACGCTATACACTGCATTGCAGGAATTGAATTCTGCACGTTTTTTTATATGCATATATACTGGAATGTTTATTCCTGAGATATTGCGTTGGTATCTTTCAGGAACACGAGTTAAAGTTAATAAAAGGTCTTGGCGATGGAAACCGAATTGCGACAGCACTTTTATATGTAAGTTTTATTAATCTTAGCAGGAGAAAACGCGCGCGGCGTAAATTATTCATGTAAATATTCGGGTCTTTGAGGAATTCCGTGTAAAATCGCTCAGGTTTGGATGCCTCGGAATTTTCCATTGAGAATGCACGAGATTGGAGAACGCTCTCGAAAGTTATTAACGAACTTAAGCGAGGCTTTAATAGTCTCTATCTAATACGACTCTTTCTCCGTCGTATTAACCGCGATCCTTAAACGCGGTGTTAAATTCTTACAATGGATAATATAGACGAGAAGTGTTCCTTACAATCATTTCGTTCAAAGCGTTCGTCTGCATGTGTGTATGCAAAACTTGTACAAAATGTGCAGACAAACTACCCATATAATTCGACTTAATGGATCTATTTACCTGCACGACTGTATCAGACGAGAAAGCTTCGCATTGAATATAGGGATACAACTACCTGAAAAATACAAGGAGAGCAAACGTCGAAGTTCTCCTTGTACTTTTCAGGTACTTGCATCCCTATCAAACCAAACCTTTCTCATGATTGCCACGACGAACGTTTTTTTTTCTTTGCACAAAGATAAATTGGACTACAGTAAAACATAAAATCAACCCTACCTTACGAGAGTTCAAAATTCCGCTGGACTAACACTCATTCAATTGTTCGTCCCATGACTTTAATAAAATCACATTTTATTCAACAATTCCTTTTCTTCTAGATGAACAAAGTGGAAGCTGGAGGAGCGACAGTATTTCCTTACGTTGGAGCTCGACTAACGCCATCTGAGGTATGACACGCTATATAATATAACACTGTGGTTAGATATTTGCTCGTATCTTTGTACGAACTTCCTTGCATGACCAAGAATTTTCGTGCGGTTTCTACAAAAACCTAAACAGCTGTTGCCTGTTAATTGGTATTTGTAAAACCACTTAATATTTGAAAGAAAAAAAATGCAAAATTGAAAAGTCCAAACGATCGTTCCGTATAAACACTTCCAGAATTTGCTCGAGTGACATTATTACTATAAACTTGACATCTGTTTATCGTATTCCGGTTTACTTATACCAAGCAGTAGCAGACATTATTAAACTTTGGCCCAAATGACTTGATACGGTTTTCTGGGATCCCAGAATACGAGATTTGCATCGTTCAAGCAGTTAACAACTAATTTTATCGCTGACCAACCACGTTGCGGAATTTATTCTTCCCCTTCGCGCCAACAAATTCGTCTAGTGGTAAACTACTTTTCATAGTGATGTTGTCTTTTCAACTGCTTTTAGGGCGATGTTGTCTTCTGGCACAATTTAATGAGATCTGGAGATGGTGACTTTAGAACGAGGCATGCAGGATGTCCTATTATCTCAGGCACTAAGTGGGGTGAGTGAAAATTTGTTTTTGAATTTTGTTCACCTCGCTGAACACAACAAAATATTAAAGTTGCAAGTTTTGGCCCTCCTATACGAAACTGCGGCCCTCCGGATTCCGGTGCAGAGCTCTGACCAACGGTGGGAACTGTACAGTAAGTTCTCGAATTCATCTGGTCCTCTTGAACGCGAAAGGCGATTTCGTGCAAAGACATTTTCATCCACGAATACATTTAATTTAACAATGAATGAAAGATTATCTTTTTCTATTCTTCTCTCTCATCAATAATGTTAACTGGAATGATTAAATGTGGTTAAAGGGCACATATTTCGAAAACGTTAACAGCAGATGTTTCATGCATTGCCAGAGGCGTATTCTCTGACTCGCATTTACAAGATCAGGGCACTTCTCGTTATAAACAAAGTTTAGTTAGAGCGGCTCTAGGTCGAACTATATATGGATATTACAGTTTGTGTCTATTTTTACTTTTACGTCGGATAAATTTAAAGATTTTTTAACAAATATAGAAGGGTATTATGTGGTCTAGACTGGATTGCGGTTTGAATTAAATTTGAAACTCAAAACAAACAAGTTGTACCCCAAACAACAAAGATAAGCTGCTGTTTTTATTTCAAAAGCCGTCAGTTTTGTATATACTGCTAATGTTGATACGTTTCATGTGGGAAGGATGTATTTAGTCACAAAAGAAAATATTTTTATATTATTTGAAAATATTTAGAGATTTTTTAGCACAAGTCCTAATTTTTCTAACATTTTTTTCAGTTGCCAATAAGTGGTTCCACGAAGCTGGACAGGAGTTCAAACGACCCTGTGGTCTTTCACCGTACGAATAAACGATAAACATTATCTGCGCGTTCTTGCTACGAGTTAGGTCATAAGCGTGCGTCGCAAATCACGGAATTGAGAAATAGGTTGATTGCACTAAATTTTATACGGGACAGCGCATGGTGGTGAATTTCATGACAGTTGACAATTATAAAAACAAGGAAATTACTGGGCTTTCTCACGCGGGCGAATATCCGCCATTTTTGGGCTACTGTCTCCCCCCCCTCGTCGAAGAATCTAGACAATTATAGCAATGTGAAAAGCGACTTTCCAAAGTTGTAATTGTAAATTTACCATTATACATGCTCAACTACCGGGACAAAACAATCGGACTTCGCATTGCGCACGCTCTCAAGGAAAGGCAGTACAGTTTGCATGGTAGATACATCGAGCGTGAGAAAGCCCAGTTAAACTAAGCCCAGTTATTTCGCTGGCCTCAGAGTGACAAAACGTAACAAAGCAACGGTTTTACTAACACAGACCCTATTCCAAATCCTAACTCTAACTCTAACCCTAACCTAACCAAACCAAGTTTGTTTCTAAACCAATCTTGAAGAAAGTTTTGACGAAATGTCATTTTGAGGTCAGCGAAATAAGCTTTTCCTTAAACTAAAGCTGGTTATGGACGAGTAAGTTGTGGCCAAGTTTTCACATGAAACATCGAAGTTCTCCTTGTATTTTTCAGGTAGTTGTATCTCTATATCAATCCGAAACTTGATTATTCTTGCCACTACCTACACTGTCATGAACAGTCCGTTCTTAGTGAAATCCACCTATCAACTCTTCTCGTGCTATTTAAGGCAATTGTTAATTTAAATTTATCCAGAGAGAACATTTAAAAGTGTATAAATGAAAAGCTGAAAGTAATTATATTATTTTTCAATATACTGTTTTCGCTTTGAGATATTAAAATTTGTTTGATATTTAGAGTAATATTGTTATGTTATTAATGTTAAGAGTTTACTGTATGTACATATAACATCTGTGTTCATCTAGATATTTTGGCGGCAATTTTTAACACAGTTCGTAAAGTGTACCTACACTGAGCAATGTATCTACTTTACTACTAAAACCGCGCGATAAAAGGCCTGGAACAAGCTTATGAAGATGCGTTGAGAACGTAGTTTTAAACACAGCGGTTTTAAAAGTCACTCCCCCCACTTGACCTTACAATTACGCGTTGATTATCACCTACGATTTTGCTTTGATTACGCAACAATTTTGATTACACCTGAGACGCCGGGTCTCGCGTCTCGGAGAAAAGTCTCCAGAAATCTGCCGCTTATCGCGAGCAATTTAAACTTACAGTAGATTGTGATAGTAGATTGTGATAAAGTAGTAGGATTCGTTAATTATAAAAGAAGAAGGGGTAATTAAGGCGTCAGGTTAAACTCTTTACCCGGCCCTAGGCATTATTTTTGGCTCTTTAATGTTTTCAGTTTCAGTCAGAAGATTGCACCCAGTCTGACTTTATCAAACATGCAGGTTTTCTGGCAACTTTTAGAAGTTTAGAAGTGATAAAGCCATCCAATATCAGTAAAGTTTAGTTTAGCTTTCCTATCCTCTCTACTCTAGAGAGAAGAATTTCGAATTGATAAAGCTATCCAGTCTAGTTTGATTTGTGTTTTGTATAATATCAACATATACAACAACCAACTTCTCCTGGTACTACGTATATACACTATACACAACTTTTGCCTAAAACTGTCGCATGCAACCAGCTTACAACTTGAGTTGTACTGTGTAAATCAAACACACAACTCACTTACGTAATTGTCGTATGTAAGTTGTGTGCTTGATTTACACAGTGCAACTCGAGTTGTAAGCAGGTTGCATGCGACAGTTTTAGGCAATAGTTGTGTAGTGTAAATTGGCCTTAACCAATCCTTACAAAAAGAGTCAAAAAATTAAATATATAATTATACATTCCAGTTTGAATCATTTATCTAGAGGGGATTTTGAGTTTCATGATTTTAGGGGCGTTTGCCTAGAAATTTCAATGAAAAACACAGACTAACCGCTAAATCCTCAATAACGTTCGGTTTGACAAGTAAACGGTTTTACAGGTAACTTTCAAAACAATTTTGGCAATGCTTCGCATTGATTGGTTTCCGATGTAAATGTTTTCAAAAACATGTTTTCAATGTAACGATCCAGAGTTTTCGCTTAGCGGTTGTTGTTATAATTGATGCTTTGTACAGAAATGGAGTAAATATATAATATGCGCTCTGAAAATGATAGCCCTAATATGAAATAGATATGTCAATTAAAACATGGACATGGTGTCTCATTGTGTTTTCAGTGATGATAAACCTACCAAAAGTAAGACGAGTTTTAATATATACTGGTTATATTGTGTATTAATCTTTTGCGTGATTGTTTTGGTAGTTTTCCAATATTCTTAATACTGACTCTCCCAACGAAGTGTCTTTGATTTTACACCGAGAAATGTTGCTATCTTTCCTAATCCTAGGCGGCGGGAAATTGGGAATTACTATCAAGAGTTGTTTATGTATTGATATATTTTCCTATTTTAAACTTTTCATAGTTTGGGTTAGCGGTGAAATATACGGTAAAAAAAATCACTAATATTTGGTATTGCTTTGACTTTTCAATTAATCTTAGGATATTTTTAAGAAGCGGGTGGAAAAGAGAACGATATAGTATAGCTATACTTAAAGAAACGAGAGATTTCTTCCGTGCGTGACTTGAATTCCCATCATTTAGCTTTTTAGGATATAACAAGCCGCTTTGATTTGTTGAATTACCGAGCGAAGCAAGTAGACCAGTGCGATATTTTAGATATTTTATCTCTCCAGAAACAGGTGGCTACAGCATAACCCTTCCCCCAAATGTGCGTCTCTAATCAAATGCTGTAAAACCGTTGCTATAAAGTTTGGCGAAAACCGTCATACCTTCTAGCCACGACAGTAAACCAATAAAGTGTGCCGCAAACTTATATGCTTCATTTTTATGTGCCTATATTCCATCAACCGGTGTATTTTATCCCTCTAGATACAGTTCAGGTATCACACATGAAACTACAGCACCCTTATCTTGCGATATTAGATAGTGAAAACACTCTTCTCAAATATGCCACTAAGATGAAATCATAATCTGACAACTGGTCATAGAACACATGCATTACTTTAGTATATCACTGTATTATCCTATTTCATCTGATATTTTTATTCATTAATTTTACTTACCATGACAATTTGTCGTTACAGGATTCTGCAGAATCAGTGTCACAGGAGTCAGGTACGCAAATCTAAATGAGAAAAATACTGGTTGTCAGTACTGAGTACTTGCTGGTCACCCGACTTTAGATACTTCTGTAGACACCCATGGGTGGGTTTGCCTAACAATTTGCCCAGTCTAGGTTTGCCCAGCATAGACCTGGAAAAATTCACTCAAATACAAAACAGTCGCTGGTTGACTAAATTTCAACAATTTCACTCTATTTGCGCCTTCTAGATCCTTACTACACAAATACCAAATACTACTGGTCATTTGACGGACAACACGACCAGCACAGACAACAATATGTCTGGGGGGTGTTGGAGCAAGGCATCAAGCTGTCTAGTTACATCAATACTTCAGTCCCATGGCTAGACCTCGGGTCGGTCGATTCCTCGTGCATTCCAAAACCTTTTGAATGTGAACATGGGTTTACCATACTATTCTGGATACGAATCGATGGTACACAAACTAACACAGTGCTCTTAAATGCTGCAGAGCAAAGAGAGGCTAGAGGGTTTCATTTAAAAATCAACGAAGGCCAACTGCGTTTTTCTGCAACTGGTTTTGAATGGGATGACCTTTTTCCAAGAACAGTGCAAAGGTTTTTAGATACAAAGTGGAATTTTAAGACCTGGACTCATCTTGGTTTACAGTGGAATTCGGAAGTTAAAGAATTAAAAATATTCTTCAATTGTTCCGAAGCAGATTATGTATCGGGCGGCGTCTCGTTCGACCGCACTGCGCATGTGTTTGCGCCGCCGCAACGTTTGATCGTGGGCGCGGATAATGAACTGACCAATAGCGGTGAGGTTGAGATTGATGAACTGGGGATCTGGGACGGCATCCTGACAAGGGAGGAAATATGTCACGTGTTTCACGCGCGACGTGGTAAGATATGATAGAAGAGTAGTTGGCTTCGTACACGTAAAACGCGAAAGTTGTTACAAGTCAACAGCATACAAAGTAGCGTGTACTTAGTGTACATGTTTCTTGAATAGCCTTACAGTTTCAATGTGAGCAGTTCACAATTTTCCTTATGGCCCATTTACACTTTACACCGCTGCGATTTCTAGTGGGATTTTCTCCTTCTGATGCATGTGAACGAGTGGATGAGTTATGAATGTTCTGAGTATGTCCACCCCATTGAACTATAAATAAACTGGAAGGCTAACTCAGGGGGGGAAATTGAAGCCAGTGCATTTTAGTTTTTCTGAGTTATGAGCAGAAATACTCAACACTGAACGTTGGGCTATGTATCAAATTGAAGCTATTGAAAAACGCTATTTGGTGTAGAAATTTCAAGA